TTATTTGTTTTTCGGCGCCAGGCGAAGACCTTTTTATTTAAACATCATTTTAATTGTTAATATTATTTGCTTATTTTATCTGGCCAGGGCGACTTATTTTATATTGTTAATTTGTTTTATATTTTTAATGTATTATATTTTAATTTATGTTGTGAGCCGCCCCGAGGCTTCAGCGAATGGGGCGGTATAGAAATGTTTTAAATAAATGAATAAATATTGCTGACAGGGAACAGGCAAGTCATTCTTAAAACAGAGGCTAAGTGGCTAATTTTTTATTCTCCCAATATTTTAACAGTTAATGGGTTTGATTCTTGTCTTTAATCATCAGCTATCGGATGCAGTGCTGTCGGTTGTGTTGTCATGACAGCTTTGTTTTTGGTTTTTCCCCCGTTTTTTGTAAGCCACCCAGAGACTTTTAGGATTGGGATGGCATATAAAAACATCTAGATAAATAAATAAATAAATAAATGTCTTAAACACATACGTTTAAATAAATAATTCAGGCATAAAAATGTTTTAATAAAATAAATAAATAAAAAGTATATGGCACTTGGTTTTCATGCAACGTGTTATGGAGCCGGGAGCAAAACGGGGATGCACAGTCTTCATTAAATGCATTCTGCAAGCATTTTGCAGATTATCAGATGTTTTCTGTTCCGTTCTGTTGACCACTTATCGATGAAGTTCGATTTCATGCAAATGCATTTGCACTTAAGCAAATTTGCCGACATGCGTATTTACACTACCAAAAGTGCCTAAATCTCCTGAAAATGTGCAAAATACCCTCAAAATGCACATTTTCACTCTTGGATGGGAAATGCCCGCTTTGGAGAAAATGTGCAGTTTAAGGAACTGTGAGTTTCTGGTTGTGGGTCTCTTAACTTTCCTATTTTTAATTTTTATTTGCCTAAAATTATGAAAGGAAAAAACCAACCAAAACAAAACCCAGGGCTGCAAGTCCACAGAATCCAGGTGAGTTAGGGACCGTGGGATTCACAGAAATCTGGCCTCCTTTGAATTTGTGGGCCCTTCCAGCATTCTAAGGGCCAACGAAGCATCCTTCGGCCCCGGAGTCCAACAGACACCTAACTGCTTCATTGCCGTGCCAATGCGCCACCCAGGACATGCGCAGGCTTCCCGTTTTCTTGATGCGTCACATTAGTGAACATTGGCGTTATTTATTCCATTCCTCTAGCACCTGCCAGCCCTCTCTGGACGCTCTACAGCCCGTTGAAGAAGAGGAAGGCGAACCGGAGGGGAGGACGTCCGCGCACCCACCTCTCCTCCGCCCACTGCCGCAACCGCTGCTGCGCGCTGGGGGAGTGCAAGGAGAACCTGTCCATGGGGCGGAAGTGCTGCTTCTCCGGAGACAGGCGCCTGCGCAGTTGCTCCAGCTCGTGCTCGTACATCAGCCTCTGCCGCTCCAGCGCAGAGCGCTTCTCCTCCTCGTGCTGCTGCTCCAGGCTGTGCAGAACGGACTGCATGGGGTCTGGGTGGGCAGACAGGGCAGGCAGGTTGGCAGTGGCTCGGGAGGCCGGCGGGCTCGACCGCCGGCCGGTGCAGGACGTCAAGTCACCCTGTCCCACTCGGAGGGCTGCCCAGTTTCGCCTTGAATGTCCCCAGTGTGGGAGAGCTCCCCATTCTCCGGGTCGCTGGTCCCACTGGCATATTGCTCTAACCATGAGGAAGCTTTTCCTGGTGTCCAGCCTGAATCTGGGTTGTCGCAGCTGGACTTGATTTTTCCCTGTCCCGCACTCCGGCATCAGCAAGCAGAGATCTTGGCCTTCCTCTCTGGGACAGCCTTGGAGGTGCTTATGGAGGGACATCATGTCCCCCCTCAGCCTTCTCTTCCCAAGGCTGAACATGCCCAGTTCTCTCAAACTCTCCTCACAGGGCAGTGCTTCCAACCCCTGGATCATTTTTGTTGCCCTCCTCTGGACCCTTTCTAATTTTCCTGCATCTTTCTTAAATCTTGGTGCCCAGAACTGGACACAGTATTCCAGGTGAGGTCTGACCAGTGCGGTGTAGAGGGGAACTAGTATTCCCATGATCTGGAAGTAATACTTCTATCAACGTATCCCCAAATCGCATCCTATAGGGGAAGGCAGGGCAGGACGAGTGGGAGAGAGCACAGAGAGGGGAACCTGCGCCACGGGGCTGAGGCACAGCCGCAGTGCTCCTTTTCTCCACTGACACCCAAAAAGCAGCCAGCTGAGTTTTAAAAGCAGGCCGGAGGTACGAGCTGCAGCTCTGTGGGAAAGCACCTACTTGGCCTGCCCATGAACCCCCTCAGATACCTGGCACCTTTTGGAAGGGCCGGGCAAGACTCCTGGACTGAATCCTGGGCAATGCCGGGTGTGCCACACGCCCCTGGGCAGAGATATCAGAAAGTGTTCCAGCTGCGACCTGGTAGCAGGTCAGTATGAAGCCTGGGGCCACTGCAGGCAAACACCGCGAGGACTCCAGAGTATCTCAGACAAATGGCCTTGAACCCTTTCTTCACAGAAGGGAGGTGGGGTGCAAATCGAGTCAGCCCCCCAACTGTCTGGGTGTGGCGTGCTGTTTCCTCCCGTCTGGCCACACGGCAGCCTGCAGATTTGCTTGTAGGCTCAGTTCAAGGTGCCAGTGGTTACTTGTAAAGCCCTGGACCAGCGAGCGTATCTTTGGGATCGTTTGCTCCCACGCAACCTCCCTCCCAGCAAGACTGTTGCAAGCGGCCTCCACCCCATCCTTTGGCTGGGTCTGGGTGCAGGGCCTAACCTGGGGTGGCCCCAAACTGTGGAATGTGCTCTCTGTGGAGGCTCACTGGGCAACATTAAAATATGCTATCAGACGGGAAGCTTTCGGGGACTGGCTCGCATGGCCTTGGCCACAGCTACATGTGGGCCACCATGCCCCCATGTCGGTGAAATGCTGCGCATCCCCCAGAGAGCTTCGGCTATTGGGTGGTTCAGAAATAATTGACTATAATTACAATAATTGTCCTTGCTGTGATCTTGCCCCCCGCCCCTGCTACCAGCTTTGATCTTGTGCTTTTCCTGCTGCATTACCTCATTTATCATGTTGACTCTTTTTAGGAAATACAGCATGCAGGTTTTATCAAACAAAACTAGAGATGCACCACTCATTATCATATCCATCAGTGCTGAGTCCCCAGGAAACCTGATCGGAAAATGAATGCGGGCCAAACATTTCGGAAACACTGCTTATTTTCCCTGCAAAAAGGCAGCCATGGGCAGCTGTGGGTGTCATCAAGGAGATGCTCTCTCCTAGAGGTGAGCCTGAGGCCCGGGAGGCCTGGTCACTGGTCCACAAAAACTGGTCGCCCCCGTCTGACCCTCCTGCACACCCCAGGTGCTCTACAAGGTCCCTGTGTTGGATTAATGGGAGCTCCTTGCCAGCAGACTTGCGGATGGGGAAAAGATTAGAAACATAGAAACAGAGTGAGTCAGAAGGGGCCTCCTGGGTCATCCAGTCTGACCCCCAGCTCCAGCCGGCTCTGCTCATGACGTGCCCACCATGTGCACGTCCAGCCTGTCCTCAAACACCCGCACCGATGGGGCCTCAACCACCTCGCGTGGAAGCCCATTCCACACCCTCGGGGTCCTGACTGTCAGGAAGTATTTCCTGGCATCTAAGCATTATATCATCAACATCATCATCTCATCATCATCATCAACATCATCATCTTTATACTGCCTCTACCAGAGGCGCCCCAGATGGTTCACAACCTTAAGTCCCCCCTCCAGATTTCAACCAGACCTGACCCTGCTTAGCTTCCAAGATTAGGCAGCAGGAGGCACATCAAGGCTATGCGGAAGCTCAGAGGTTCTCCAGAGGCAGGAAGTCTGAAAGGCACCGAGCCGCAGCAGGGCAAGCCTGTCGCAGCTGCAAAATCTCTGAAGGTTTTTAGGAAGCGCAGCACTGTGCTTTCCCAATGGGCAGGTGGACCTGCAACGCCCTCACCGTTTCCGAGCGCCTTCATGGTCACCTCCATCTGGGCATATTCATAGCTGAAGTTGATCTCGCTCGATACTTCACTGGAGCTGTCCCCGTCTGTGTCCAGCTGCTCGGAGCTGTTGCTCCCTTTCATTGAACTGTCTTCATCCTCGGTTTCTACCTTCTTTTTCTTCTTGGGCAAGTTCAGCCTATCCAAGGGAAGGAAAGCGTCCCCACAAAAGGATATAGTGATTGTTGAGGCATTGGAAAGAAGGGCAGTCGGTGATACGGTAAGGGCGGCACATTCCTTCCTTCCTTCATTTATTTATTTAGAGTTTTTATATGTCGTCCCGTTGCTTAACGCCTCGGGACGGCTTACATAAACAAATATAATACAAAAAATACAGATTATACAAATTAACATCCAGGCCAAAGTCCAGCTGCCTCTCCAACATGGTGCCTGCAAAACTTTTCATGCAGGAAACGTTCCGCCCTATTGCACCCTTCTTGAAGCGGGAAAAGGCAAGGCCGTGTTGCTCATCTCCACAGCCAGGAGGGCCCAGAAACCAGTCCTCAGACGATGGCTGAGGCAAGGCTTTATGAACTTCACAACCCCCAATTCCCCCATAATTTTAGCCAAAGCAGCCCCTCACCCTTCTAAGAACAGCAGCTAAAGAGGCTGCCACAGAAGTTCAGAGGACTTCCACGCTTCAATCAAATACACCTTAAAAAAAGGAGGGAAGGGGGAAATGGAATTAAGGTCAGACATCCACGACAGAAGGTCTAAGGCAAAACTGTGTCTGTGAATGGACTGATTGACACCACTGCTTGAGGAACCAGACGTCCAGCAGACTGCGGAGCAAGAGAACGGGGCCTTGACAGCCGGATTGAAGGGACTCAAGCTCTCCTGTCTGCCAGAGGGCACAGAGACCCTGCGCCAGAGATCAGTACACAGAGAGCCCAAAGAAAGGAACAGGGAATGGTGGCCTACCTGAAAAAGTGATTGTTCCCCCACAGAATCCTGTCTCCGTGGTGCAGCTGCGTAGGGCCCGTCACAGCCGCACCATTGACAAACGTCCTGCACAGGGGAGAGGAAAGCAAACAGTCACCGTAGTGCCGAGCCGTCGACCAGCCCCCAACCCCACACCCCCTCTCCCAAAGAAGTGTGCGTGACAGGTAGAGAGGTGTGGCTCCGTGGGGGTGGAGGGACAACACAGAGGACCATAAATAGTTGGCGAGAGCACAGAACATGTCCCCCCTCCCCCATTTACAGGTACATCGCGGCTCCCAGAGCTGAGGAAGTGGCAAACTTTTCAAAAGCTATCATTGCCTGTCTCGATCCTCTCGGGGCAACAATGGAAACCCCACAAGATGAAGTTCGGTGCAATGAGAAAAGAGCAAACGATGCATAAAAACGCGAGCGCCAGCAGAGAGGGCTCTCGTCTGCTCAAAGCTACCAAACCGCGGCAGGTACAGGCCAGAGCAGCCCAGTAAAGGAGGAGCAGGGGAGGCCAGAGGGAAAAAGGAAGCCTTCAGGGCTGGCCTAAAAGTTTGCCCTGTGCAAGTCGCCTGTTTCCCTCCCCTGACCTCCCCAGCCACGCTTCAGCAGCGAGCAGCGAGCGGCACCTCGGGACGGGGCTCCCTCTTGCTTCTGGGGGCCTGAGTGTGTGAGCTCAGCCCTGGACACGCTGGAACTTCTGGGCAGAGCAGGGAGTGGCAGGCAGGCAGGCAGGCAGAGAATGTCTTTCCGTCTCTCTTTTTTTTTTTTTGACGGAATACATAAACATTCTCAGCCAAGAAAACCCACGGGTCTGGCACTCTCGGCCACTTAAATGAATGCATAAATTTACTTTGTCCAGAAAGGAACAGGCTGGCAAAAAGAAACTCAAGAGGGGAGGCATGGCCTCCAGGATACGAGACAAGAGTCCAAGACTCCGTCCTGGAATTGTTTCCATTCTCCATTTCAGTCTGAGGGTAAAAAAAAAAAAAAAAAAAAAGACCGCCAGGTACCTAGTGTTCTTCTGCGGCGTCAGCATAACCTGTCCATCCAAGGTGATGTCTATGATACAGTGCTCAGGAAGAATCCCCATTCCACACAGCTGGATGTCCTGGGAGTTATCCGACCCGATCAGGGTGTGTTCCTGCAGAGAATCCCAGATCGGGGCATTAAAAAGCAGCGGGCATGTGATGCCAGTGTTTCCAGGGGTGAAGCCCCCGGGTGCTTTTGGACTGCAGTTCCATCAGCCCCAGCCACCAGGGCCAACAGAAATGGCCTAGGGGAGCTGTGGCCCTGGACGGGGCCAGGTTACCCAGAACCAAGCAATGGATTAACAAGGAAAGGCGTCCGCTGAAGGGGCGAGAAAATTAACAGGTATAAATCAAAATTAACAGGTGTGCCTGGAGACTGGATGCTAGGAAAAGAAGGTGCCACATGGACCTTGGCTTGGGATGGTGTGGTGGGTGCCCCAAATGGAAGGCCTCTCTCTGGGCAGGGGGCTTGCGAGGGACACAGGGCCCGGCCCCAAGGAAGGCCTATGCGGGCAGGCAGGTGTTTATCAGGTGAGCTGCCCTTCAGCTACTCTGCAAGAGCCTCTTCACAGCTACTCTCCCTCACCCCGAGGGAGATCGTGGTTCCCACAGCTGACTAGGCACATGGCGCTGTACCTATTTGCACTGTGGGTCTGATTCTGAGCCAAGAGGAAATGAAACAAGGGCCTGGAAGCCGGAGCTTGAATTTCAGAGACTGAAAGCCATGCTCGTTGCGGAGGAGAACTAAGAGGGGAGGAGGCCATGCGTGTGAAGCTGCCCATCCTAATGCCCCCCTCATCTTCGGTGGCCACAAGCATCTCAGCAGACATGAGAACTAGAAACTTGGTGGGGTGTTTGTCTTTTAAATGCAGCCTCTGGCTATCACGGAGCTAGGGAGGCATACGATGCCAAATTCTGTGGTCACACTGATGAAGGCACAGCACACAGACACGCACGGCTCTGCTTACACGCCATGCAAGCCAATTCAAGCAAGCCTCCTTCTGAGTCAAATTTCAGCTACTCTTCTCAAAGGCGAGGCAAACCTGCAGTGCAAGGGGGACGCTGGGCCAAGATGAAACCGTGAGTGTTTGCAGAAAACCCCAGAACAACGTCCACCGACAAATGTGGCCAGAACAGGTAATTCTAGACTGCTTGTTAATTGCTTCTTAAAAAATGTGGCCGTGCTGGGCAACTCCAGCTAAAAAGGACATTGTTTCGTTCTCATCAGAACAGGCGTTCAGAGCACTCGCTGGCTTCCTCCCTTGCCTTCCTGCACCCCATTTTCTTGAGCTCCCACGTGCAAATTATCAGGGTGCCAAGAGGAAACCTTATCCCCAAGCAACTGTGCCAAGGCCAGCCCTTGAACTGGGCATTCCTGCTGCATATTCATGCTGAGCGGCAAAGAAACAGAGGCACCGACAAGGGCTGCTGGGGGTACCAGCTGACGAAGCAGCTTTCGCTGGAATGCAGACGCCTACACCGAAATTCTCTGGATCCACCAGAACGTTTCACATCAGCCCCTCTGCGGCTCCTTCGCGAGCAAGAGGGTTGACTGAGGGTTTTGCCAGCTCAGGCGCTACTTCTGTCCGGGGGCCGCCCTGCGGCACAAACAAGACGACCAGTTCCCCCTCTTTAAGTGGTGGTCCAATTCCTCTTGAACTGTTTTCCGGGCTGGTTAAGCTTTGGGGGAGCTTGCAAAGATTTATGGGGACCTCAGGCCGACGCAACTGCTTGTGGAACTGGCGGAGAGACTGCAGCGCTGTCTCCCTGTAAGCCGGCCCTCCTTCAGCCTTTGGACCCCAGCTCCCAACATCCGCGATTGTTGGCCAAGGTGGCTGGGGCTGATGGGAGCAGGAGTTCAAAATACCTGGAGGGCACCCAGCCCGGGAAGGCTGCTGAGCATGAGCGAGCCCCCTAATTGGGCATGGCTTAATGCCTCATTTCCAAAATGCTGGCTTTTAAATCCCGTCAAGAGGTCCCTGAGTTAGGGCAGCCCTGTGAACGGATAACCGATTGCAATATGTGCACAGAAGCAAACCCTGATGAACAGAAACCAAGATGGCTGGGAACCATGGCTTACTGCAATCTCGGACTGCACAAGAGATTATAGAGCGCAGAGTGACTGTGGCTAGGAAATCGATCATGCGCATTCCAGCTCAGCTCTTCTGCTCCCAGCTCCAACTCTTGAGGACCCTGTTTCCCCGAAAATAAGCCCTAACCAGAAAAGAAGCCCAAGCATGATTTTTCAGGATGCTCACAATATAAGCCCTACCCCCAAAATAAGCCCCAGTTAAGATTGTCAGCCAGACGGACGCGTTTAGTACTTCTGCTGCAACAAAATTCGGGATTTGGAGAGTTACGGCGACGTTCCAGAAGAAGATGGCATGACTGCATTTGAATAAATGTAGATTGTTGTACATGAAAAAATAAGACATCACCTGAAAATAAGCCCTGAAGTGTCTTTTGGAGCAAAGATTAATATAAGACCTGGTCTTATTTTTGGAGAAATACGGTAGTGACATGGGCCTACCCTACAGGGCTATTGTAACAAGCGCTCGAGAGTATGAATGTGAAGCTTTTAGAGCATTTAAACTTCATATAGCATTTCCCCCTTAAACAGATTGAATTCAAAGTTTGAAGTAGAATCCTAGAAAAGTAGAGATGGGGGGGGGGGGAGGGAACGGCAAAAAGGCCATTGGATTTACCCTCTTTGCTCAGTGCAGGACTCCAAGTTAAACCCTCCCTCTCAGACAGCTTCCCACAAGGCTTGTTTGTAAGGAAACATGACTTGCAATTGGTACACGTGTAATATTAAATAATAGTCAATACAGGTTTTAGGTTCTTAACAATACAAAGTTAGCTATTTAGATAACTATCACTTGCAAATAGATTTGGTGTGCATCTGTCGACAGCAATTAACAATTCACAGTGCAACATAGAAACATAGAATCAGAGCGAGTCAGAAGGGGCTTCCCGGGCCAATTAGTCTGACCCCCAGCTTCAGCCAGCTCCGCTCATGACGTGCCTACCATGTGCATGTCCAACCTATCCTTGAACACTCTCACTGATGGGGCCTCAACCACCTCCCGGGGAAGCCCATTCCATACCCTTGGGGTCCTGACTGTCAGGAAGTGCTCCCTGGCATCCACACTGAGCCTTGGTTCCCTGAGCTTTGCTCTCTTGGAGCGCGTCTTGCCTTCCTCTGCAGGGGAGAACAGGTCTCTACCCACCTCTGTGGGACACCCCCTCACATACCTGTATGTCGCCAACAGATCCCCTCTGAGTCTCCTCTCCTCCAGGCAGAAGAGACCCAGTTCCCTCAGTCTCGCCTCATACGGCTTCCCCTGCAAACCGGCCACCAACCTTGTGGCCCTGCGCTGCACTGACTCCAACCTGACTCTACCCTTCCTGTAACGAGGGGCCCAAAACTGAACACAAGAGAGGTCAACTCATAAGTAAGTACCATGCAGTGCACTGGGGGCTTCCTTCCCAGGCAAATGAATTAGTCTAGGAATTATGAAAATGGCGGTGCTCCATGACGCATGAAAAGCGATTAAAGTCGTGTTGGTGGTCCTTAAGAAAAATACCAGACCCACAGCAGCACTGGCCATCTGAGCATTTAGAAAAGTTGCGTCTGGATCTGCTTTGGTTTTACATGAGGGCACCTAAGCAGAATCCCCGTGGACGTCTCACACCTGCGGTTTTGGCACAGCCTCACGCACATGCGCTCCTTTTTCACCTTTAGGTAGTAGACCAGAAGTTCATTCAGTGCAGGGTCCGCGTTCAGATTCACCAGAAAGCACTTGTCGTCGCCGACTTTGATCCCAGACGACTGGAGAGAGATGCCCAGGCTTTCGAGCTGCTTCTGCCGCTCCTACCGAAAAGGAGAAGATGCAGATCAGTCAGGCCTGTGTGTCTGTGTGAGCCCATCAGGTGGGCTGGGTCAGGGAGGGAGACAGCGCAGCCCACGACTGCTCCTGGCCGCCAGGTTTCCTCTGGCAGTCTTACTCGTGGACATCAGGAAAGCCACCAGTGAAGGCCGGGGCAACCGTGTCCAGTGCGAACAGCACCGAAGCATGCTGAGCGGGAAGCGGGAAGAGGAGGAGGCAACCAAAGATCCACGTGGAGCCCTTGTGGGCTGCCAATGCAGAGACCAAACCCCCAGATGCTCAACTAATGCAGGAAAGGCTTGTAACAAAAGGGTGACTTGTAGGATTCTGAAGCCAAGCACAAGCCAAGGCATGAGACACAGAGCTGGGTTGCACAGCTTGGCTTTTCAGGGGTTGTTTAACCCATGGATGGCAGGGGTGCGAGCAGGAGAGAGGGGGAGAGAGAGAGAGAGCAGCACACGGCACTTTTCCCACACTCATTGCTCCCAGCTTCTATCATCTTTAATCAACAACTCAAGAATATCCCATTTCTGCGTTATTTGATGTTAAGTCTGATCCCAGAATTTTGGTTTGTTGAAAGAGAAGCAACTCAGAGTTATAACCCCACAACAAACCATGGGAAGGAGAAAAAGTCACCCATTTGCCTCCTGGACAAGTAGGAGATTTAAAAAATAAGAATTAAAGTGTTACTCTTGCACAAGTTTGTACAGAAGCTGGAGAAAAACTGAAGACTTATAATAAACTGCTCCTGTCTTGATCCAACAAATTAATCTTTAGACATTGAACCGTATCAGTACTGCTTTCTTCCTTTCTCTCTTTTGCATGTTCCCCATATCCAGGAGGACTTACAGTAAAGCTCTTGAAAAAACACAGTGAAATATTGCAAGGATATAAAGTTAGGCCAGATATGTAGAGATACACGGGGAATATTCTTCAGGTTACAGGAAGCTTGTGCCCGGTTTTGTACATGCCGTTTGCACAGCTAATTACTGGAAGCTCCATGCATCTTCTCACAAATCGGTGCTTTCACTTTGGGTAAACTCTTTCATGACTATCAACTGAATTCTTTGAGCCCCTGCCTCTGCCCCTGCCCCTCCCCGCAAGATAAGATGTGCTGCATTTCCTGGTCAGCTTCGATAATCCAATTAACTTCTGGATGAATCATATGAGACCTTTTCCTCCCTGCAAGCTATTTGGGCTGAACTTTTTGAAGGCTGTTTTATATATGCAAATTAAAATACTAAATAAATAACCCAGGAGATGGAGCAGGTGGTTCTTAAGCATTTCTCTCACCAAGAAGTCTAGCCTGAAAAGCAGCGTTTTGCTGTTTGCATATGCTAGAATAGCAGACAAATGAACTGCTATTCTCAGCTTTGCATGAAGTGCCCTACAGGTATACCTGCCTACCAAGGCAAATGTTTCATGCACCTGATGAAATGGGCTTCGGTCCATGAGCTTTTCTGTCCCAAGAAACAGGCTGGTCTTTAAAGCAACGCCAGACCTTTTGCTGTTTTTAGCAATAGAAGAAACTATCCTAGGAATGAAGGAAAAGGCTATCTAAGGGAGCACAAATGGATTCCCATAGCTGCGAATACCAAGACTTGCCATAAAAGGGATTATCTGGCCGGTGAAGCACCTGCCCTTTGCCCCAAGCCAGCCTGAAAGCAAAGAAGGCAGACCTGTGCAATCTCCTCCGTCTTCCTGAGCTTCTCTTCCCATGTCACCGTCATCTCCTGGATAAGTTTTTCGGATTCCTCCAAGCGATCCTTCAGTTCCGGAGACTTCATAGCCTAGGAAATGTGGGGAGAGAAAGTGGAATACTGAGCGGTCCCTGGAAGGACAACTCAGTGGATGAGGTCTGGTGTCCTGCCAATTCGGTTATCGCTTGTGATCCAGATTTCTGGAAACCCCGAGCCACGGATGGTGTGCTTAGCCACCAGCGGCAGCGATGCGTGTGGTGGGTGAAGGTGCCTGCATGAGAAAGCTGAGTGCTCAGCGTTTCTGCATCAAGCCGAGGAGAACCGGGTGCAATGGGGCAGAGCACAACCAGGCTGCAACGGCCGCGTCGTGGGGGTGCGGGTTGGAAGCAACTATTCCGCCGCACTAAGGAAAGGAGGTGGAGGTTTGCCGTTTCTCCGAAGCACGAAAGAGTCTTGCCGTAGGAGGGCCAAAGGTCCATCTACTTTTCATGGTGCCCAAGCAGAAGTGGAGACTTCTAGGAGGCCCACGAGCAGAGCCCGTGGGCAAGCGGCCTCGCGGCCGACGGGATCCGTCCAGCTTCTGCACCACGAGCGCAGGCAGCATCCCTTCTCTGCAGCTTGATCGGCTGGGCGCAGAGCCAAGGGGAAGGGCAGGCACCTCGCTTCAAGGGCCACAGGCTGTGGTCTGAGCAGATGGACTGCAGGTGCCACAACTACTCATGAGAGGCTCGTGGAGAAGGAAGCGGCAGAGCGTGCCTTTCTGGACAGAAAGGGCAACACGGCCAGCTGTTAAGGGCCGTTTCATTTGTCTTCATTATTTCATTACTACATTTTTATGTGCTGTCTTCTGGCAGGACCCCGAGGCTGTGCGCATGGTTCTCACAACGGCCGCGCACAGCAGGTTAGGTGGCGAGTCAGGTGGCCCAGGTTAAGTGGGGCCTAGAACCTGAATCTCCCGAGTCCCTTCCGACCCTCTTACTGCTGCTACACCTTACTGGGGGTTTGATTGTTTCTTAAATTTGTGTATTGTCCCATAGCCCAGGAGATCTCTCGGTGGTTTACAATAAAATTCAATAAAACCAGCCATTTATCAATAGAACAAAATAATAATACAGTAAAAACAATTTAAAACCACACAGAAATTTGGCAGTAAATGGCAGAGGAAAATGAAACGGAGGCATGAGATAATCAAAGATAAAAGCAATGTTAAAAACCAGTTTAGCCACCGTGGCACCAGGAAAATGAAAGGGTCTTTGCCAGGTGCTGCAAAGAAAGCAGTGATGACACAGGGAAGCCTCCCAGGGAAGCGTATTGCACAGGTGAGGTGTAAACAAAGAGAAAGTCCTCTTCCCAACCATCACCCCCCTCTCTGCCTTGCTGGGAGGCTCTTGGAGAAGGACCTGCACCCATAACAGGGGAGGGACGCATGGAGACAGATGTTCCTGCAGGTAACCTGGTCCCAAGCCGTTGGAAATCCCTCTGTTGCCTTGGCTCTGTGCTTTGGGTCATGGCTCTGATTGCATGCGCTCTGCACTGGGCTGCATCCCTCTTGCCCTCAGCCCTGACGTGTCGCCATCCCCAACCAAGGAAAAGCAGCTCCGGGACATGAAGTGAACACCACCATGCCTTGGCAAGGGCTTGGCGCCCTCAGGACATGGGGGACTGAGGTCTTTGTGCCATGCTTGAGACCAGGATATCTGAAGGAGCGCCTCTTCCCTTAAGTGCCCTCACGCCCCTTAAGATCCGCGGGAGAGGCTCTGCTCCGGGAACCCTCTTCTTTAAAGGAGATAAAAAGAACATCTACCCGGAGCAGGGCCTTCTCTGCGGTGGCGCCCAGATTATGGAATGCGCTCCCTGGAGAGGTGCACCTGGTGCCAAGTTTATATTCTTTTTGGTGCCAAGTTAACCGCTTTTTATTTAATTGCTGTTTTAAAAACTAATATTTTATCATTGAACAGTCTCTGTCTTCTTTTTTTGTCTTTATGTAATCTTTTATTTAATTTGTTATTTATAAACATCATTTTATCGTATTTTAATTTTATGTATCGTGAGCTGTCCTGAGATGCCAAGGCATGTGGTGACGGCAGACAAAAGTTTTAAATAAATAAATAAATGTGGGCACTTGCAGCCCGGAAGATTTCAAAGGTACCAGGTTGCCATCCCTGGTCACACGGACTGGCCCTGGCTCTCCAGGGAGCGAGGTAAGAGTCTTCCCCAGCCAGGGGCAATTTTGCAGTCATTGCATACGCTTGGGCTACAAGCCTTCCACTGCATCAGGGTAAAGCTGAAAACCAGACACCCTCCTTGGTGTGGACACGGCCTTAAAAGCACCTCTCCAAGATAACTCTTGATGTTGCAGTTCGCCTAATTCCCCCGTGCTGGGATTGATGGATTACAAAGGTGTCATCAGCAATGGACTTTGGACGACCAGTTCGGACAGATGGATCTCTTTTCCAAAGAGAAAAACCGAAGCCCAAACTTTCTGAGAACAGACATCTGAGAGGCCCGGTTAGAACAACAATGCATGTTTGAGAGTGCTCTAACAAGGAACAAATTAGAGGACTGTCACTCTATTTAAGCCATCTTAGCTGCTTAAACCATCTGGGTTTTGTACATAATCGCACAGAAGTACACTCAAGGAACACAACCCACATTTTAAAAGCTGGTGCCTTCACTGGAGCAGAATCCAGTGAAAAAGAGGAATGCAGGCGCTTTTTAAGTAACTAGATTCATGAGCAAAATCTACTGCGAGATTCAGTTGCCAGAGCAGGTGTGGGAGAATTTGCCTGGGATCTTCCAAACCAGCTAAGCCGAGTGACGGACCTGGAGCTGCAGCCCGATCCTACGAGGGCAGGACCTACCTCGGCTTTGGTGAGCTGCTCCCTGAGTTTCTCCACCTCCTCCCGCAGTTCCCGGATGATCCGGGCGTTGGGGTCTTCGTTCACCACGGCGTGGTTGACGATGTTCTTGGCCCGGTCGGCGTACCGCAGGGTGGAAAGCGTCTCGTCATAGTTGTCCGCCGCTGGGCTGACGGTGGCCACCATGGCGGTCTTGCTGTTGCCTCCAAGGCTGTCCTGGGAAATGAGGTCAGGCAGGAAGAATTTGGGGGGCTGGGAAGGTTTCTGATGGCCAAGGGGGTCGATTTCAGCAGGTCGGGACTGGCCCTTGGTTTGTGCTTCTCGACACAAAGCAAGCAACCGCAAGCGATTTCCTTCTGAGCAGCGACTCCCTTCTATCCCTTCCCACAGTGGTAAATCACAGGATCCTTCCTATCTATCTATCTATAACATTTATATTTATTTATTTATTTAAAACATTTTTATGCCGCCCCATTCGCCGAAGCCTCGGGGCGGCTTACATCACTAAGTTAAAATAAGTATAATATAAATTAAAAATATAAATATTAAATTAAAAATACAACAATACAGTATAAAATAAGCCGCCCTGGCCAGATAAAATCCAATAATATTAACAGTTAAAATGCCACTTGAATAAAAAGGTCTTCGCCTGGCGCCGAAAAACAAATAACGACGGCGCCAGGCGGACCTCTCTGGGGAGCGCGTTCCATCTATCTATAACATTCTATCTATCGGGAGTCGGGAAGCTTTTCCTGATGTCCAGCTGGAATCTGGCTTCCTGCGACTTGAGCCCACTGTTCCTCGCCTGCGATGACTGGGAAGAGATCCCGGCCCTCCGAGTGGTGCAAGTATCTCCCCCAGGATTCTCTTGTCGAGGCTAAACATGCTCAGCTCTTCCGGAGTCCCATACAGGACTCTGTTTCCACCCCCGGATCATCTCTGTTGCCCTCCTCCCAACCTTCTTCAGTCTGTCTCATCTTTCTTAAATAGTGGTGCCCAGAAGTGACACCGGACACCAGACGGGGGCTCGCCAGTGCTGGGAAGAGGGAAGCCGGCACTTGGGGCGGTAGGACCTTGCATGGGATGGCTCCCCTACTCGCTCACCCTTCTGGTCCATACATTCTTATCTGTCCTGAACTGCCTTCAGCTCTCTTGCCACACACACACACACACACGCACACGCACACGCACACGCACACCACCCCTCGCTTTGTTCCTGTTAGCCGAGTGATATGCCCATCCCTGTTTAATTTCAGAAACAGGAAAAAAGCAGGTAAACGCACGGCGAGAGAAGGGGGGATTGCAGCAAAGTTATGGTTTTATTATGATTTAATGAAAATTCCTTTGGAGGCTGGAGTGGCTAGGAAGCATGGTGGAGGTGCAGAAAAGGAAGAATTGCTTCAAATCGTTGGACTATTGTAAGGTGCTTTACGTGGGGCTGCCCCAGATACTTCAGCTGGTTCAGAATAGGGCAGCCAGGATGTTAACAAGGACCGATAGATATGCTCATATAACACCAGTCCTTTGCCATCTATAGTGGCTACCAGGTGAAGTCTGGGCCCAATTGAAGGTGCTGGTGATGACCTATAAAGCCCTGAATGGCTTAGGATCTGGATATCTGAAGGAGCGTCTCCTTCCCCATGTGCCAGCCCAGCCCTTAAGATCTGGGTTGGAGGTCCATCTTTGGGAGCCCTCTTTGAAGGAGATCAGGAGAGTGGCTACCCAGAGCAGGGCCTTCTCAGTGGTGGCACCCTGGTTATGGAATACTTTCTCCAGAGAGGTTCGCCTTGCACCAACACTTTATCCTTTTCGGCGCCAGGCCAAACCCTTTTTATTTCCCAAACATTTTAAGGTTTAAATTATTTGAATAATATTGGGGTTTTATGATGCTACGCTTCACTTTTATTGTCAGACTGTTCCGAGACTCTTGCTAAGAGGCAGTATAGACAAGCTTTAAAGAAAGAAAGAAAACCTCAGCAGACCAGTCAGGATGGAGCAGCAGCTTGAGGTAGGAGATTCTGCTCACAGGGGCTGCTGGGATGCAAGGCGAGAGAGGGATGATGGGGAACCCACGTTGCTTAGGAAACCACATGGTCCCCCAATCAATCAGTGCAGATCTGCACACCACAGAAATCACGCGGGGTCGTTTACCACGGCGTATGAACCCCGTGCATGTCTTCCAGAACACCATTTCTTGGTCCAAAAGGCAAGTTAAGAACATAAACAGAAGCCCATGCCCATCAACTGGAAACGTCTACCTGCAAAGCGAGTGCTTTACCTTAGGAGAGGGCTCTGTCTCTCCCACCTGATCTACTTTGGCAGGAAAGGCAAGGCAGGTAGGTGCGGGGGGGGGGGCAGAGCAATTGCAATAAACAAGGTGCAGGCGATCAGCCAGATTCATATACTTCAAGCCGTCCACAAATCTAGGTCATGAACTGCCAATGGGCATTGTTAACATAGTTTTTAATCTGTGTTTTGCCTCACTGGTAATTGCTGTGGTGAATTTAAGCTTTTCATAACAACCCTCATTAAGGCCAGGGCAGAGGAACTGGAGTCTTTGGTGCAGATGTGGGAAGCCCAGCCTCGAACCAGAGCTCATGTTTTTCTGCCTAGCTTGTCTGAAAAGGATGCGGGTAAAAGGTGGAGACTCGCAAGGGGAAAGGAGTAACATGAATTAAGTGTTGACATACGCCACAGCAACAACAGAAGTCATCACATCAAGCTTTTATCTAGCACACTCCCAAGATGCAAAGGGTTTCAAGGACAAGATCGTCCTTGAATCAGCCCTGCAAGGTAAACTGGTATTACTGCTACGTTAGCCATCGCAATGCAGTGGCCAGACTAATAAGTGGGACCCGTAGGCCTGAATACAAACCAGTTCTGGCTTCTTTGCACCCGGCCGCCTGCATGCTTCCAGCCCCAAGGTCCCACGCTGGCTTCGACCAATAAAGCCTCATACCACTGAGGATGGCGATATTTGGAGCCTCTTCCAACCGCAAACTCCCTGGACAACACTCAGCATCTCGGGCGACGCTGAGAGTATCTTGAAGTGCAGCAAGAAGGGGAAAAGTTCTCTCCACACTAGCTTCCCAACTTTGAAATGATGGCCTGCCTAGCCATCTTTTTGGCACCAGGTCAAGAAAGCCTTTAAAGACATCCAGGGATATTCAAAGGCTGGAGGGGTTTCCCTGTCTCAGGTGTTCTGCATCTGTTTCTTTTGGTATTTGGAATTTATTTTGAAACGTGTGCATTTTGGAAACAAGATGGAATGCCGTTGTCTTGTTTTTATGACTCACGGTAAATTCTCCGGGTGATGAAAGTGCAATAAATAGCCAGTATTACAATAGGGCAGAGACGAAAGTGCTTTGAACATACAGCTCAATCAAAAGGTAAGACAGGTTGGCTTCCTGGGTCTATATTACCTACTATATTACCAGAACCTGGGGTTTTTAAGTTTGCAGCGGAAGGCCGACCAGAGGTGGATTGCAGCTGCAACGAACAGCCAGCAAGCTACACCAGCAGTCCTCCCAGAAAGATGGAGAGTCAGGCACACGTATTATAGCCCGGATAGTAGATCCCCAGATGTTTGGGACGTCTTCCAGAAGTCTGTGCCAGCACGGCTGGAAGTCAGCAATGCTGGTGTGCAAGTCCTGAACAACTGGAGATGCACTTTCTGCATGTAAGAGGTTGTTGTTAAGCGAGAAAGTAGATAGCGGGCTGCACAAGCATAAACAGTGTTAACAGTTGGCGTTAACGTCTGAAACAAAACCAATAAAATTATGAAATCAAACAACCAGGCAGCTGCTGTTCTGCAAAATGCCTGGGCAGATGTTCAGGATCAGGGAAAGCCCAGAAAAGTAAACAGCAAGGAGAAGTTGTCCAAGGTTTCAGCTACGAACAGGAAATAAACAAATGAAATATTTGAGGGAGGTACTTGTGCAGGATGACTCAAGGCAATTAATTATAAGCTGGCACAGAAGAACTGGCAGCAAGTGAAAGAGCTGTAGATTCCGAGATGTTTTGATATTTCTCTCCACCCCTCCTTCACCCCAACCGGTGCCTGGGTACAAAGAAATAACCCATGATATCTGCTGTGATCTGAAACATGATGCCACGCATTAGGAATTCTGAGGCAAAGATGCGTGCGGTTTTCCAGGCAGAGTCCCTGGCCCCTCACTCCACTGTTTTGCCAAGAGTAGGAGCTGAAGGTCCAAATTTTCTGTCAGTCCAGGAGCAAAAGTCATTTAAAGGTGTAATGGAAGCTCAAACATCCACCATTTTTAACTCCAAAGCTTTAAGACACCTACGCAGAAGTGTCTTGGGTAGACTGTGGTCCTGGGAAAAGGGGCAGGGAAGCAGGACGCCATCCTTTTCTGGACAGTTTTCCAGCTCAAAAGGAGCTTAGGGCCCAGATCTTGAAGGAGTGCCTCCTTCCCTACGTGCCTTCCCGCCCGTTAAGATCTGGGGCAGAGGCCCTTCTCCAGGAACCCTCCTTGAAGGAGATCAGGAGGGTGGCTACCCAGAGGAGGGCCTTCTCTGTAGTGGCACCCCGAATGTGGAATACGCTCCCCAGAGAGGTTCACTTTATTCTTTTCGGCACCAGGAAAAAAAACCCTTTTTATTTTCCCATTATTTAAATGCTTAATTGGTTCTAAGGCAGTTTTATTTATTGGAAATTGGATGCTGTGCTCTGTCTTATCTTAATCAGTCTTGTCTTTATTGTAAAAACGTCCCGAGATGCTTGTAGTGGACAGTATACCCACGCGGTTAATAAATAAATAATTAAAACCCCACCCGGCAAGCGGCTTTCTCTCTCCCAAGGGGAAGAGGGCCTGAGGTGCCCAGAATGCCCCTCACGCCGTGTGGCGCCTCCCTGCAGCCAAAGCATTAAATGCCTTTGCCGGGCCCGAGTTGCCTCGGCTCGGATCTCCCGCTTGGCCCAGCCGATGTTTGCTGAAGGGTGCGGGGGGACGGAAGAGGAAGGAAAAGTGGAACGCTGTGCGATCTCACAGCTCAACAGCTGCCTTGCATACAGGAAGCCGCAGGTTTGGCCCCGGTGCCTCCGATTTAGTGGTCAAGGGATGGAGAATCCAAGCAGGCAACTCCTGAGCCAGCGAAGCAGCTTCCTCTTGCCTACGGCCGCTTCCTCATGAAAGGTCAGGCAGAGCGTCTCTCTCTGGACTCACCTAGCACCTGCTCAGTAACTCTTTGCTCTGAAACTGCCCCCACCCCACCCCACTCCTCCCACCTGGGCTCCAGGCTCTTGGCTCGCCGTGCTGGTGGCTGCCTGGCGAGATGCGATGAAAATCCCACCCTTTCCGCCAGTCATTCCAGTGCCTAAATGCGGGGGATTGAGTTTCTTCCTGCCAAAGGGCAGAATCCAGTTCTGGAGAAGCTCTTGCAGGCTGCACGGTGGCTAAGGGACAAGGGTGAGGCCAAAACACCAAAACTGCCGGCGTATTTTCACTTGAGGGCCTGTAGTTATGAAGGCTGGGGGAAAGGAAAGAAGGTCTTTGGGATGCATTAACAGAAGTATTACTTCCAAATCAAGAGAAGTAGTAGTTCCTTTCTGCTCCTCACTAGTCAGGCCTCACCTGGAATACTGTGTCCAGTTCCGGGCACCAAGAATTAAGAAAGATGCAGGAAAATTAGAAAGGGTCCAGAGGAGGGCAACAAAAGTGATCCAGGGGTTGGAAGCACTGCCCTGTGAGGAGAGACTGAGAGAACTGGGCATGTTCAGCCTTGAGAAGAGAAGACTGAGGAGGGACATGGTATCCCGCTAGAAGTACCTCCAAGGCTGTCCCAAAGAGGAGGGTCAAGATCTCTTCTTGCTGATGCCAGAGTGCAGGACATGGAATAACCCATTCAAGTTGTGACAACCCAGATTCAGGCTGGACATCAGGAAAAGCTTCCTCACTGTCAGAGCAACACAAGAGTGGAACCAGCTGCCTGGAGAGGTGGGGGGCTCTCCCACACCGGAGGCATTCAAGGTGAAACTGGGCAGCCATCCGAGTGGGACGGTGTAATGTGGTGTCCTGCACCAGCAGGGGGTTGGACTAGATGGCCTTCATGGCCCTTTCCAACTCTGCTATTCTATGATTCTGGGGAAGCCCAGAGGACGAGACTGGCACCCCTGGTGGACTGGATGTAAGCGGAAGGGCTGGGCTTTAACACTGCTGTCTTAAACGCTGCAAGGTAAATGCAGAATTGCAGGCAGATGCTTCCTCCACTCTGCCCACACCAATGCGTCATGTAAGGAAGAATGTGCTGCTGTTGACAAGCTGCCTGGCGCTGCTCTGCGAGTTGCCCTTTACAATGCGGAGCGCGAGTGCCCCGGCATGTAGGCGGTCGAAGGTCAGCACTGGCCACAGGGGAGGATTCGTAAACGGGCCCCTAGAAGGGCAGCCAAGCAGGCAGATGGGCTCACACTTTCAGTCCCTCCGCTGCCAGCAGATTATCCGAAGGTCACGAAGCAGCGCCCCAAGGCGACACTCTCACCCCGAATACCTCCTGGCCTGCAGGGTATGAAGGCCACACGCTGCAGCGGTCCCGTTTCAGCAGAGCAGGGCTGGGTCTGGTCAGGGGTGGGTTGGAGCCCGTGATCCTCGGACACACCACCTGGAGCGCCACGATGCCAGGCAGGTGTGCAGAGCATTGCGGACTGAGTCCGTGCATGCAGTGGAAGAGAGCGGCTGCGCCGCTAACGAACGTGCCATCACAGGAGAGAGCGACGATGGCGACACGGCACTTGCATCCTGCCGGTTTTCCTCTTGCAAGGGAGCCAAAGTGGCTTGCCAGGTTCTCCTGCGCTCCATTCTTGTCCTCGCTGCAGCCCTGCGAGGTAGGTGCCTGGGCCAAAATCACCCCGGGAGCTCCATGGCTGAGCGGGGACGAGAACCCGGACCTCCGGATTCCCTGCACACTAACCACCACACCGCGCTGATAGCTGCTAGTCGGCCTTCTACAGGGATGGCACATGCCCAGGGAAGAGGAGCGGGAGGAAGAGGCGGGTCAACTGTTACGAGCAGCCCTGCTGGATCGCACCCCCCGTCCATCCAGCCCAGCAGTCTGTACACACAGTGGCAAACCGGCTGCCCACAGGATGGGTGCAAGAGCTCCTCCTGCCCGGCTCCACAGCGACGGGGGGAACGCAGGCAGGCCGCTCTGGCGAAGGAGGGAGCACATGGCGAGCCAGGCCAGCTGCCACGGTGTCAGGATCAGGGCTGCTCCGGGGGCCAGACCCAGAGCAGCCACCACCGACTTTGCAGGGTCGGCCCCATGCCCTGCCAGAGCGCTCGGTGCACGGACAAGCGCCAGCTGGGAGCCCTCAGCTGGGGGGTGAGCTATGCGAGAGCCAGCTCTCCCCTTCGGAAGTGGCCTCGGCAACGCGGGTCCTCCTCTTTGCCGTAGTGCCCGCAGCCCGCCTGGCCCTGCCTCCAGCATCCTGCTGCCTCTCCTGCCTTGCCCCGCTGCCTCAGCACCGCAGGTCCCCGCTTGCCCTTGTGCCTGGCGCTTGCCTGCCCTGTCCCCTGCCCCGATGTGGCCCTGCCCTGCTCGGTTGCCGGCACTTGGACTCTGCTATTAAGCCTTGTGTTTGGACCCTGTCCCGGGGCCTCTGCCTCGTCCCTCTGGTTCTGGCCCCAGACCTTGACGCATAAGCCATCCGAGCGAAGAAGACGCCTCCAAACTCAGAGGCCGTTTGCCACCTTGCAGTGCTGGAGACTCCAAGGGTCGGAGGGCTGCCCAGCTCACCTGCCACGGCCAGAAACGGTGAGCCCGGTGATTACGCAAGGAAGCGAGGGGGGCGAAGAGCTCATGCCCTGCCTCCCTGCGGCACTGTGCTCCTCGCAGCCCGCCAAATACCCCCTTGCAGGACGGAGGTGAGCACAATCCTGCACGGAAGAAGGGGAAGCGATCCTGGAGTGGCTCGCTTCACCGCACATCCAACCCGCCTTTCTGCAGGGGGATGCATGGAGAAGCTGGCACCTGCTTTCCCCGCCGAACGGGGCTCCGCACAGCTGCCTGGTGGGCTGCAGGGGGGACGGAATTCTGCGAGGCAAGAAGGGCCGGCACTGGGCATCTGGCTTGTGTGGCCGCAGTGGGGGCCCTGCCTCCAAACTCCCCCGCAGCAGCCGTAATACTAGGAGCGGGAGAGAAGAGAGAAGGTCTGGGACTTTTCGGCAGTCCTTGCCTGCCTGCCTGCCTGCCTGGGGGAAGCAGAGACAGAAGCCACCCAAATAACTTGAATTAAAATGAAAGTCTGACACTAGCTTCTCTCATATAGGGAGGGCAGAAAGACAGACATACAAAATATGAGCACAGCTCACAGGTAATGTAATGACTGGACATGATTAGAATCAACTTAAAATGGTTAGGTCAAAACAGCCATTGAGTTGACGAGGATGAATTAACAATCCTCTTCAAAACTGATCGTTTTAAGTTAGAAATGACACACTCAGGCCCGTGATGTAGAAGCAGCCAAGAGTGAACGAGGGGGTGATTCTTCAGCCTTCTTGCCAACGTTCTGTTTCAGTTCCTCCAAAGAGCGGCCACTTTCTGCCGCTGCACGCAGCTTCCTTTCCAAGCGCCAAGCGATCCTCCTCCTGCTGCATTTTTCAGGAGAAAGATTGCGTGACCTCCTCCAACCCTTCCCTTTGACCTGCGATGGGCACACGCACACGATGACCTTCCCCCGCTGAGTGGAGGCAAAAGGGCTTATCATCTTAGCCAAAATCTCCCAAGTCAGCCATGACACTAGGTAAACGCGGGCTAGGCGAGGTCAAGAACTCATGAGAAAGGAGCCTGGGGTTGGACGGGTCGCAAAAGCCAGCCTGCCACTGTTTAGGAAGTAACCAGAGTGGAAATCCACAAAAAGGGGATGCAGGAGACCAGCAGATCTTTTGAGAAGCAGAGGAGTGCATTATTGGATTTTATCTGGCCAGGGCGACTTATTTTATATTTTATATTGTTATTTTTTACATTTGAACTTAATGTTTGTATTTTACAAACATTTTAATTTAATGTTATAATTTAATGTTTGTATATTTTTTAACTTAATGTTGTAAGCCGCCCCGAGGCTTCGGCGAATGGGGCGGCATAAAAATGTTTTAATTTATAAATAAATAAATAAATAAATCCCGGAGAAGCGCTTCCCATGTGAGCGGCAACAGTCATATTTGCAATGATTATAATTCTTCTGCTGCCGTTTGCTGTGGCTGCGCTTCTGCAGCCGCTCTTTTACACCTCCCCAAACAGACCTGTTACAGGTAACGGCACCTGCTGCCCTGGCAAGTGTGGACACGGAACACCAAGAAGGCTCAGGCCACGGCCGATCAAGGTGGGCAGTTCTCATGCTCTGGTCTGAAACAGCGAAAGACTGTGGACTTACTTTGAGTAGCCAGGTGAGCACGGAGTCCCGATACGGAACAAATTTATTCTTATTTTTGCCAGCAGCTTGGTCTGCGAGGGCGGAAATGACCAATCCGAGAGTGGTGAGGGACCTGCAGGGGAGAGAAATGGTACAGCGTCAGGCATCAGCAAGCGGAGAAGTGCTGCTCTGGTTCGTATTGTCGATGCTACGACTATATTGCATTGCATTTATATCCGCTGTCCTTCCCCTGGCAAAGAATCCAAAGCAGCTCACAAAGTTCTCCTGCTCTCCATGTTATCCCCGCAACAACAACCCTGGCAGGTAGGTCAGGATGAGAGTCAGCGACGCACCCAAAGACAGCTGACAGGCCACCTGGCTGAGCGGGGACTAGGCCCTGATCCCAGCGCTCTTAATGACCACACACTGGTAGCACCGTAGCTTCATTCCGGAGCCCAGCCATGCAGACAGTATCTTGTATTTAGGGGTGAAATCACCCAGTCCTAAACAGCGATCGCACCAAAATGAACATATAGGGAATTTAACCCCAAAACCCCTCTTGGTGTGTAGCTTTAAACGTATTACCATTAGTTCTTGATGAGGTGATAACAGCAAAATATGAGGGTTGCTCATTTTTATTCCAAGGGGAGTAAAAGGAAATTAACAAGTCAAAGGGAATGGAACCATAGAAGGGGAGAACGTGGAGAAATCAAGATAAGCCTTTTCTCTAGTCGATTCCCCTCTCACGAGAACTGAAATATCAGCTCTGCTTCTTTCTTTCTTTTCTTTCTTTCTCTCTTTCTCTCTTTCTCTCTTTCTCTTTCTCTTCCTCCCTTCCCTTCCCTTCCCTTCCCTTCCCTTCCCTCCCTCCCTCCTTCCTTCCTTCCTTCCTTCCTTCCTTCCTTCCTTCCTTAGGAGACTTCTATGCCGCCCCATTTGCCGAAGCCTCGGGGCGGTTCACATCCATAAATAAACTTACTTAAATTAATATAAATTAACAGTAAAAATTAAGTCGCCCTGGCCAAAGAATAAAATGAGTAAATACTATCAACAATTAAAATGACATTTGAATGATGTCGCTCACTGTCTTTCTCATGAACGAACAGGAGGGGACACGTGTGCCTGTGCCGCTATTCAACATTCTAAACCACAGAGTTCCTCATTAACAGAGCTTTACTTGTTGATGTTGCTGCCTTCCTTCAGCCTGTCTCCTGCCGCTCCCGTCTTGGTGGCTCTTTCACTGCCGGCTAAATCAACCAGGCTCAGTTTGCCCACCTTCTCGCCAGATGTCTGTGGAAGGAAAGGCAGATGTCAGGCTACCAACGGCTCACGTCTAATGAGTCATGCAGATGCAGCCCACCCTTTGGGAAGGAGAAGTAAAATTATAGCTTCAATAATGCTAGCTTGCCACGGTTCCTTATGACTGGATGATCTCTCCTGGAATACAGCGTTCAGTTTTGGGCACCCTGGTTTAGAAAGGATGCTGAAAAGCTGGAGAAAGTTCAACAAAGATGAGGAGGGCTTGGAAACTAAGCCTTATGACGAGAGGCTGAAAGAACTGGCTTGAGGAAAGACAACTATGACATGATGGCACTCCATGACGGCGACATCCAGGTATGTGAGGGGGTGTCACACGGAGGTGGGTAGAGAACTGTTCTCCCCTGCAGAGGAAGGCAGGACGTGCTCCCACGGAGCAAAGCTCAGGGAGCCAAGGTTCCATTTGGATGCCGGGAAGCACTTCTTGACAGTCAGGACCCCGAGGGTGTGGAATGGGCTTCCTCGGGAGGTGGTTGAGGCCCCATCGGTGAGGGTGTTCAAGGACAGGCTGGACATGTACATGGTGGGCATGTCGTGAGTGGAGCCGGCTGGAGCCAGGGGTCAGACTAGATGGCCTGGGAGACCCCTTCTGACTCGTGCTGTTTCTATGTTACAAGTCCCTCAAAGGCTGTCACAGAGAAGTAAAAGACCTATTCTTACTCATCTCAGATTGTAGGACATGGAACAACGAACTTAAACTACAGTGCACCAGGCAGAGGCTAGACACAGGAAGAACCTCCTCTTTGTCAGAGCAATATGGCCGTGGAACCAGCTGCCTGGAGAGGTGGTGGGCTCCCCCACACTGGAGACTTTCAAGGCAAAACTGGACGGCCCTCTGAGTGGGATGGTGTGATGTGGTGTCCTGCACCAGCAGGGGGTTGGACTAGATGGCTTTCATGGCCCCTTCCAACCCTACTATTCTATGATTCTAGGGCATATGCCAACTTGAAAACACTTAAGTCTACATTTTTGGAGAGATAAAAGCATTACAGGAAACAGAAGCAAGGCTAACAAGAGACAACATTTCTGAGAGTTTATCATGCATATTTTGGCTTTACTTCAGCTGTGACCGAGAGCTCAGGGATCAAATCCTATTTGTAGAAAATGTGTTTTGGTGACTAACTTTTCTGGAGGAAGATATCTCATTTTCCAGATAATCAATTTAAAATTAAAGCCGAGCGTGTGGCTTCATTAGGACCAATTTACACAACTTTATTTTAGCTTTTTACTGATGGGGGTCATTTCAACATCTGCAGATACAAGACAAATGAATACACGGAAATGACCATGGCAGAACAAGTCCCACATTCCACAAAAGGCTTTCAGACTTCAGGGCAAGATCCATGTGTGACGGGCTCCACATTGTATTTCCCCTGTGTGGGAGGAGATGAAACAACTCATCTGCAGAGACCTGCGGAATCTAAGCTATGCAGACACAGTCTCAGGGTTTCCCAAGTGTGCAGGGAGTTTGCCAAGTGCTACTAGAAAGGCTGTGCAGTCCTTCCTACCCCATCACACTCAGTCCAGGATTTTGGGTGAATTCTGATTGGTGTAAAACTGTCTGCGTGTAAAACAGCACACAACACCTGCAACCTTTTCAGCCCAGATGGACGGCACCGCAAACAAGCCCCTGGTTTCTGCAGAAAGTGTCGTTTTTCTGGTGTCCTTTCTCTAGGAATCCAAACACCTAGTGTGGGCCTGTTTTATTTTATTTATTGTATTTATTAAAACGTTTTTATGCCGCCCCATTTGCCGAAGCCTCGGGGCGGCTTACAACAGCAAGTTAAAATAATTATAATATAAATCAAAAATATAAACATTGAATTAAAAATCTTGTTCTTGTTTGATCTTGTTCCTAACACCTTTCTTCGGAAATACAGGAGAAAGTCCCTCAAATTAAAATGTCAGTCTCTAGAAAAGTGGCTACAAATTCAATTAGCATGACGGACACGCTTTATATTCCTGTTCCTTCAACAGGATTAAAGGTGAGAGCACCATGACCGTGGAACCCAAGACCTAGGGAGATGGTGGGCTCTCCCACACTTCAGGCATCCAAGATGCAATTTGAGCCATCTGAGAGGGATGGCTTAACCTGGAGTCCTGTGCTGAGCAGGGGTTGGACCTGGTGGCCCTCCTGCCCCTTCCAACTCCCCTCTTCTCCAATTCTATGATTCTGTGTGCTTGACCAGTCATGAATAACTGTCTTTTTCCTTTGTAAAAGGAATAAAATGGTTACTTGAGGGAAAGTGTGAGAGAAAAGAAGTATGTGAGGGAGGCAGACGGAGAAAAGTCAAGGGGGGAAGGGTCCCCGTCTCTGCCCCCTCTTACAAATCTTATGCCAATGAAAAGCTTATACCTCTGGCTTAGGAAGTCCTGTGCCACGATAAACCTGGTGCTCTTTAAAGTTCCAGAGCTCCCTCCCTCCCTCACAGAAGGTCTTAAGCAGATGCCGCTCAACCATCTGCTGGGACTACCCAAGCCCGTTTTAGTCATCCAACTCCAGGTTTCCGGCACTGAGCGGGGATTTGGTTCCATCGTTCATTCAATCATTATTTCTACACCGCTTAAGCTCTCTAAGCTGCTCACGGCATGAGGGAAGATAATATACAAGCTTTCACATGGGCAAGGTTGAACCAGTTCGGAAACAAGCTGGAGCCATTGACAATAAAACTACTGGGATCGGAAAAATTATTAATAATAAAAGGCTGCATGTCCAATGCCTGTGATGGGAGCTGGACTAGGACGGTCTCAGTGGCCACGCCTAAATGAGTCCCTGGCTCTTGGGTATTTTTGCTGTGACAGAAAAAGGGGGTGACCTCTCATTCCGACCACTTATTCGCTCTTCTGCTCCAAAAGTGACGGGCTAAATGCATCTACGGTGCCGGAGGTCTGCCTGGCAGGGCAGCTCCTGATCTTGCAGGATTCTTTGGGCAGACAAAATGTCTGATATAACCATCTAGGCACATTAGATTAATGCAACATGTCTTTGCGGAGCTACCTTTGAGGATGGCTGAGAAGCCGCAGCTTGCGCAAACACAGCAGACCAGAATAAGAGCCATTCTGGCCCACTTGCACTGGGGGCCTGTAACTTTCCAAGCCCGGTTTAAGGTGCTGGTTTTGACCCAGGAAGCCTTAAATGGCTTGGGACCACAGGGCCTGACGGAGGGCCTGTCGCAGGGTGAACCTACTCAAGGGAAGGTTCCGAGTGCGGCAACACGGGAAAGGTTCTTTTGAATGGTAGCTCTCCCAGTTCTCCGTCGAAGGTCCAGTATGCATTGCACAACGTCATAATTTCAGCTCCAAGTTAAGACTGTCTTCTATTCCCAGAGGTTCAATGGTTTATGGTGGGATCTTTAATATCAGTTGTTTCAGCAGGTTCTGTTCTAGCTGCCTTAAATTGTTTTTAACATTTTGTACATTAGAAGTTTTCATATGGCATTTTTCTTCTGCAATCTGTCTGACTGTCCAGAGAGTTTTGATTCTTGGGTAGTGCAGAAATGAAATCTAAGCAATAAATTAGAAGCATCCTACCATTCCAGCTTTAAGCTTCAAGACTGCTTGATGGCTTTTTTCTGGGAACAGCATCTTGTTATTATTACTGCTGAGGTTGTTAGACTGCAGTTTTATGTTACATGTTCTGCTCACTCATTTTTTATGACTGCCCAGTTTTGTATTTTTATTTTCTTTTTTTGGACACATTTTAGATTTTTTGTTTGCTTGTTAAGCAAATGGAATAACCCTATTTATTGGGAGGTTTGTGTTCTGTTCATTTGCAGCTTGGGTTTGCATGTTATTAAAAAGCTTCCTTGTATTTGATGATTGCTGGTTGCCTCGGAGAACCAAGTAGGTCTGAAAGGCGGGATAAACCCAGCTTAATAAAGATCTCCTAACACAGGTTCCAAGCAACACGAATGGCATTTCCCCAGCCACTTTCACTGCAGCTTTCTCCGAACTGCAACAGCTATGCAGGTTGGGTGGATGAAAGCTGTACTATAATCGGGAGCATACCAGGTTGGAGACGGCTATTCTGCAGGACCAAGGAGTAGCTAGATCTGTTCTAACAACAAACTACCGCTGGCTGCGCAGGCCTTACTGTGGGAAGGGTAACTCTAGCAGTAAACTAGGAGTGAAACCTACTGAGTAGATGACAGTATCACACATCAGGGGATTCTCCCCCACTCCAGGCTGCAGAATTCCAGAACTCACCCCTGACTTCACGTCACACAATGTGTGTGTGAGGATGATCTTGAAAACGGCGTGGGACCGACTGCTCTCTTCGTTCATGTTGGTTGCAGCCACGGTTCGAGATTTGTTGCCTTCAGACATCAAGGACTCGATGTCCTAAGTAAAAGGAATAATAGAAAGCAGAGATGGAACACGTATGAGGAAGGGCTTCCCGTGGGACTTGTGTTAAGGCAAAAAAAACCACTGGGTTAAAATACACAGATGGCTTGAGGAAAGGCTACAAAAACCTTTAACATTTAAACCTGAAGTTTTTCTATTAGGCATTATTCCTGATGACTTTGATAAATAAACTATATATTTGATTTTACGTGTAATTACCGTGGCGAGGACTGCATTTGCCCAACACTGAAGATGTGGAGAGCCACCTACTGAAGAGCTGATTTTTAAAAAGATTTTGGATTGTGCGAAAATTGACAGATTGACTTTGTCTTTGAAGGAGGAGGAGGATACATACTGCTATCAAACTTGGAACTCTTTTTATTATTGGTTAGAGAAACAGGACTATATGTAGAATTGAATATGGTTATTGATTGTTAAAAAGAGTAAGATGTCAACCCAGTATGTCCGATGTCTTAAAAAACTGTGTGGTGTAGTGGTTAAGAGCATGGGATCGGGACTCAGACAATCCGGGTTCTAGTCCCCGCTCAGCCATGGAGCCAACCGGATGACTTTGGGCCAGTCACAGACTCTCAGCCCAACCTACCTCACAGGGTTGTTGTTGTGGGGATGAGATGAAGGAGGAGAATGATGTAAGCTGCCTTGAGCCCTTTGTAGGAAAAAGGCAGGATATAAATCGAAAAATAAATAAATAATGGTTGTTTTACATGTTAGATTGTAGGGAAAATAATAAAATTTGGAAAAAAAAAAAAAAAGAAGGGCTTCTCGTGGTGGTTTTTCAGCCACACGATCCATCGGCACCCCCGCAGCCCCTCTCCTGCATGGCCTTGAGCTGATGGGTCAGGGCGTGCCGGAGGGTTTAAAAAGGATACCACCCATAGCACAATCACCGTTATTTTTTTGCTTTGAAAATAATTCAGCGTTTTGTTTTGCCAGACCAGGCAGGTCCCTGTCCCTAGAATGGACCAAAATGAAAATGTAGCTCTGGGAAAATGGAGCACCATAAACGGACCCAGGAAAGTGCGGAAGGGGAAGAAAATACAAGCGGCATTTTCTTCTCCCACAAAGACCGAACGCAGCCAAAACACCTTCCTGCACCTGAGGAACACCTGCTGGAGCAACTCTTGGAGGATCATGAGGCCACTCGGAGAACTTTGCTCTCAACTGTCCCTTGACTCTCTTACAGCCGATTTCCATTACCCGTTTTATTTTAATTTATACTCCGCTTCTCAAAAATGCAATTTCTTCGAAGTGCCATGCAGAGCAATCCAAATTAAGCAAACCAAGTTGGTGTTTCCTCAGAATGGAGATGGAGGAAGATGCAGAAAAAGAAAATGACTCCTCAGGGATTAATCCTGTATTCTGGGAGGCCACACAGCACAAAGCACAGAGGCCACGAACTGAATCCCTTGCATGTGTGGACAGAAAAGAAGATTTCTACAGAAGATTTCCGGGGGGGTGGGGTGCTTGTGCATGACTTGCAGGATATCTTCTGTCTAAGCATGCACAGGATTGGGCCCCCTGGGATTCAGCAAGGAAGCCCCTGGGCCAGATGTCGCCTCTTCCAAAACACTCTGCTCAGCCTCAGCATGACAGGAAGGTTGACGATTACACAAGGGCAACAAAAATGATCCAGGGTTTGGAAATGCTGCCCTGTGAGGAGGGACTGAGAGAACTGGGCCTGTTCAGCCTTGGGAAGAGAAGACTGAGGAGGACATGATATCCCTCCATAAGCACCTCAAAGGCTGTCCCAAAGAGGAAGGCCAAGACCTTGCTGATGCCAGAGTATAGGAAACAGAATAATCAAGTCAAGCTGCGACAACCCAGATTCAGGCTGGACATCAGGAAAAGCTTCCTATCAGAGCAATACAGCAGTGGAACCAGCTGCCTGGAGAGGTGGTGGGCTCTTTCATATTGGAGACATTCAGAAAGAAACTGGGCAGCCCTCTGAGAGGGATGGTGTGACGTGGTGTCCTGCAACAGCAGGGGTTTGGACTAGATGGCCTTCATGGCCCCTTCCAGCTCTGCTATTCTGTGACTATATGAATCTAAGACAATCGTGTATACGAAGTCCGCTGTACGTCAGCAGTGGGGTAGATAATGCCGGCTATAATCTAACACAGCTCGCACATGCCACGTTGGCAAAGGTCCTGCTAAACATTGCCCCCCTCAAGAGGCTTTAGCCCTTCTTCCGGAGAGGTAGGGGGCTGCCATTTTAGGGGAGTGTGGAACGCATGGTCTGCCCCATGCAAGGGCTGCCATGTTGACATTTTCCCTTGATCTGGCCTTGCCTGTGTCTGGGCGGACTGGGGCAGCCACAGATTCTTTCTGCTATCCTGCCACGCTGGCCGGCCAAACAAAATATTGCTTCACAGCAAAGAAAACATGTTAGCCACACTGTGTGCTCACAGTTAAAACAAGCTTTGATTCTAAAGATAAGTTCTAACATCTCCAAGGCCTGTTGTGTTTTGCTTAGCGCTTGATTTCTAAAGAGAAATGCAATCTGGCACAACCAACCTGGAATAACGCTACGTGACCTGATACGCTTCTCAAAAGCGAGAGAACAGCAGTCTGCGTATGTTCCAAGACACCCACTTCTTCATTTTTAGCACTGCTCCGAAGCATGCTCCGGAGAAGGGAACGAGAAGCAGGGGCAAAGCAGTGTGTGGAGAAAGCAGAGAGGGGTCATCTCCCCATCCCATAATACAGGAACCCGAAGGGGTCAGCCCATGAAGCTGAGGGGTGGGACATTCGTGACAGATAAAAGGAAAAGCTTCTTCACACAGCATATAGTTCAGCTTTGGAATTCTCTGCCGCAGGAAGTAGCGAAGGACATCAGTTTGGATTACTTTAAAAATGGATTGAAGGAGCTCCCAGAGGAGAAGGCAATCAAGGGCTACTAGACCTGCTGGCCATGTGCCACCTCCATTATCAGAGGAGACATGCCTGTGTACACCGGTTGCTGAGCAGCTCGGGCCAGCAGAACTCATGGTGGGCCTGTCATGAGCGGAGCCAGCTGGAGCCGGGGGTCAGACTAGATGGCCCAGGAGGCCCCTTCTGACTCGCTCCGTTTCTCTGTTTCTTGTTCCCATATTCCTCGAGGGATCCACTGGGTTTGCCACCGTGAGCTGGACGGACCCTTGGGCTGCTCCAGCATGCCATTTCTCATGTTCTTACGTTCTCAAAGCGCACTTAGGCGGCATTCGCAGGAGATCACACTGATGGAACTTGTAGTCCATTTGGAGCATGCCAAGCTGGGGGAAGGCTGGCACAGAGAGACCTGCGTAGGTCACACCGATGCAAGATGCTTCCTTGCTTCCTGGTTTTGGTGGGGCTTTGTTTGCTTTGGTGTGTTAAATTCTTAAACATTAAACTCTTGTCTAATAATGGTGGGGGTGTGACCAGGGCCCCAGTCGCCTGATTCCAGAGGCAAACTATTTTTAGGCACTTAAGACCATAGCTAACCTTTAGCAAACAGACCAAGCGCATTCACTTGCTGAACCAGTTCTGCAACTTGGCTTTTTTAACGACAGGAATAATGGTCATCAAACCTACCATATCGTATCCTTAATCTTTTTAGGGCTGGTAGATGGAGGGAGGACGGGGGTGGGGGCGTGGGGGGTGCAGCTCTCAAACGATTGTGATTGTCATGTGCTTCGCTTGAAATGCTGCTGCTGAAGATTACACAGCATTTACACCCTGCCATTTTTCACTCTCGTGAGAAACGCCATTTTGTCCTTGTGAGGCAGGGGTTGTTCATCGGCTTTCCTCTCTCCCCTCTTTGCCCCCTCTGATGGCCTTAGAAGGGGCTTCAGAAGCAGAGTCCTTTTATCGGAGCTTCCTGGGCTGCAAAACGCCATAAAGCAAAGCGGCATTCTCCTCCAGAGGTGGGGAAAGCATCTGCTCGTGAAAAGAGCCGAATCCACAAATGTCCCCTCCTTCCCTTTCAGGCAGGTCCTGACTTCACTGCCTGAGGGCCAGACGGCAGTGAGATGCCCAGATACTTCCTAACTGGCTGCTCACTTTTCCTGTTGCCTCCCCCTCCATCCCCCCCCAGTTCCAAAATGCCCTCCTCCTCCTCCTCCTCCCCCTCCCAGGAAGGCTGGTTTGCACTCTCTGCCCAAGAATCTTTTCGCAAGGTATCCTGGTGACAGAACAGAAAGTTCCCTCTGCTCGCTCTCCTGAACCTGCACAATCCACACGGGGAGGAGGGAGCTTCCAAGTTACCCAGCAAGTTTCATGGACGGGGCCCCAGCGCAGACTTCCATGACACGTGGACTCCTAGAGCAGCTCATTCATTCATTCATTCATTTTATTTATCTCCCGATTCATCCCCTGCCTTTTTCCTACAAAGGGCGCAAGGCAGCTTGCATCATGTTCCACCTCCATCTATCCCCACCACAACAACCCTGTGAGGTAGGCTGGGCTGAGAGTCTGGGACTGGCCCAGAGTCACCCACTAGAACCCGGATCGCCCAGTCCCATGCTCTACACCACACCACCACCCTAGCTCTATGCCCCTTCGGGGGTGAGGGTTCCTCATGGCGCAGCTCCTGGGCACCGCCAGCTCTGCTTACAGGAGGCCCCTCGCCAGGGGAGGCCCGGGGGCAGCTAAGGGCACTGCCATGGCTCGGCAGTGGCACTGCAGGGATCCCCTGCAGAACCTCCCTGCATGGGCTCTGCCCGGGATCACAGCAGGCTGCCCCCAGCCCAGCAGGCCCTTCTCAGCCAGGCCGTCCCCTCGGGGCCGGAGTGGAGAGCCCAGGCTGCAGGCACAGGACTGCTCGAGCAGGAATCCCCAAACCTGCATCCTCCAGGTGCTCGGCTTCAGGCCTCCTCTCCCCCAGCCAGCGTGGCGGACAGCTGGTAATGCCGGGAGGCTCAGTCCAAAGCATCCAGAGGGCACCAGGCAGGGGAAGACTGGACTGCACACACATACAACGTCTCCTTCCAGATGTGCCCGCCCCCCCTTCAGATCTGGGGCAGGCACCCTTCCCCAGGAGCCCTCCCTGAAGGAGATGAGGGGGGTGACTACCTGGAGAAGGGCCTTCTCGGCGAGGGCGCCCTGGCTGTGGAATCTGCTTCCTAGAGAGGTTCGCCTGGTGCTGTCACTTCATTCTTTTCGGCACCAGGCTAGAACATTTTTATTCTTCCAATGTTTTAAGATTTGATTGTTTTAATTGGGGCTTTATTGTTGATTGGAAATTTGATTAGGATGCTGCATTTTATTTTATTTTTTTATTTTTATTTTATTTTATTTTATTGTTACAGCGTCCCGAGACCAGACGGCCTAGAAAAGTTTTAAATAAATAAACAAAATAAGCAAGCATAAGCACGCACGTGCACACACCCCACAGAAAACCAGACTTTCAGTTGTGTGCACACACTCCAGCAAGGTTCCCAGGTATGCACCAGAAGCATCCCGTTTTGGTGGGACTGAGAGCTCAGACTCGGCGGAGGATGCGGGGATGGCTGAACCTGACGAGGCCCAGAGCTCCAGCTCTGATAACGGAACGGTTGTTGTAACAGACAGGCCTGCGCTTGTGTACTCAGCACCAGCCCAAGCCTGCTCTGGATGAAAGTCGCTCAAGGACCCCCACGGGTCTGAAGAAAGATGGAAATGGGCGGTCTCTCGGATGGAGAACACCAGCCTCCTGAAGACGCGGACCTGAGGGCCTGTTGGCACAGCCTCATGCTGGACCAGTTAGGGGCTCAGAGTGCAGAATGCAGGGGGGCCTGTTTTCACAGCCCCCCACCTTCCAGAGACAGGCCCCGAAGGGTTCATAAGCAGAGCTTTGGGTAAAGGGGGGCAGAGAGGGGTCAACATCTCTTTGGGTGTGCTGGGAGGCTTGTGAATGCTTAGTGACTTCTATGTAGAATAAAGACGCTTACAAGCAGTGCTGGGGAGTTTGAGAGGGAATGCCTCGCTCACAGCACTTTCTGAGACAAGCTTTGCTAGAACCCTTCCTCCCTGAGAAACTCGTTTTCTATGTGCAGGGAATTTTAGGCTCATCGCAGCTGAGAAATGTGCATGGCCACAAACAAGCCAGGCAGAGGCTGATTCTGGTTTCTAACGAGCACTCAGAATGGGTTGGAGGCCCCTGATTTTTGGCTGGGAAGCCAACACCGCCACGTGTATGAGGAGAAAAGGGGTGAAAGGAAGCACCGAGGCACACACCTCACCCCTGGGCTGAGAAGCTACAGTTCACCCATTAAACAGAACCTCTTTCAGTCGAAGGGCTGAACTTGGTTCTAGAGAAGATCTTGGAGGCCATATTCCAGGGTTGGTGAGGCCAAAGGAAAGGGGGGACGTGCCAAAGGAAAGGAGAAGGCCACTATGCCAGCCAGTTATGGCTAGAAGCTGACTGTTGGCAACGAAACCTTAGGAAAGGCTTTTCTATTCTTGGGAGACTAAAAGCTGGGAAGCTGTCTGACTAGCAATGGTCAGAGGCCTCCAGCCTCAGGTTTGGGAGGGCTACAAGTGAACTGAGCCCATTTTCCCTTACGTAAGGCAAAATGATTCAGAGACAGAAAAATCGGTGAGGCTCCCACTGGACATTATGACAATGAGCCACCGACACCTGCGGCATTTACCTTGTAACTGGCGACGGCCAGTTTAGAGAGTCCGTCCACGTAAGGCCCATAGACGCTGTGCTCTCTGACTTTTAAGGACTGGCGGCTCCTGTCGTGGGAACAGACATAGAACAAGGTGTTATTTTTCTTACCAGCGCTGGGAGAGAGCCAACCAAAGCTGAGCAGGTCTTGTCGCTTTAGTTTCCTGCAGAAGAGCTCAGCACGTTATTCAAGCGTTCCTCTCGAGCTCAAAAGGCATTAAGTGGGGCTCGATTGCACCCTCCGTGGGGCAAGTCAAGGCTCATTTGCAACTCCTTTCAGCACCCAGCTTGTGGGAAGAAACTCAAATTTGCAATGTGCAGCCAAACAAACGAACAAAGGCAAAGTTAGCAAAAAGGTGAAAGCAGTCAGGATGCCAAAGCCCTTGGCAAATTAACAGAGAAGTAGAAGCAAACGGCAATTCTTACTTTTTAAAGTTCACGTTCATGCAAGGCAGAAGTTACATGGGTCCCAGGGGATTAAAGATGAAACTGGCAACACAAGAGTTGCTGTTGAAATGTTATCCTGCAGTCTGAACTCAGCCGTACTCACAAGCCACGGTTTGTTAACCAAGAACAACCCATCAAGAGAACCCGTGGTTTGTTCTTGAGTGGTGCACGCACGGGTTGTTAGAGTGACTGGGTTCAGGCAACACCACCCGACAATTTTCAACCAAATCCTGTGCTTCAGTAACGGCCCATGCTGAGCTCTTGCGAGCCAAAGGTCCATTATTGTATTGCCTGAACCCCAGCAACCTTTAGGTGCACCCCGAATTACTCGGAATAGTAATGTGTAAGGAATCTGGTTTGGGGTGGGCATCAGCTGGATTTCCTCGGCTTGGTTACCCAGACTCTGGCCCACTTTCTCTCTGCCCTGGGTTTGCCTTGCATCAAGAGCTTGCCTGGGCGTCCGGCGGGAAGCTAGTCCGAGCGAGTCCGTGAGGCCAGCTTGCACACACTCCACATGCCTCCGGCGCACCCACTGTGCAAGCAGAGTTATGCTTCCACACATGTGATTTGATCGCTTGTGTAAAGACCAGCATACTCTGCATGAAGAAGGGCCCTGCTAGCATTCCTGAATGCTTGCGGCCTGGATCTCCGCTCAGCTTGCCTTCTGGACAGAGCTAAGGGCCGGAAAGGAGTCCAGCAAGGCCAAGGGGCCAGATTCCTGCCAGAGCATCACATTCGGACCACTGAGCCAAGCACCGCTCCACCCAGCAGCAGCTCCGCAGGTTCTCGGGCAGGAATCTCAGTCCTGCCTAGAGATTCTGGGGATGAAATGTGGGACCTTTGGCATGCAAGCTTTACAGCTCTTCCCCATGAACGAAAAACGGTCATTTTCGTCCTGGAAGAAAGTGCGGGAGGAGAAGCAGTCTCCCATTCCCTTCGAGGGGCTCGTGGCTGGGCTGCCTGCATTTTCCATCTCTGACACATCCCTCCTTACCCCTTCGGGTCCAGAAGATCTCTGACTTTCTCGTTGTAAATCTCCATGTACGATACCTCCACCTTAAAGCTCTGCTCCTCACTCTCCTCTTCCTGGGCTCTTTCGAAGAGAGTGCTGCAGAGCCGCGGGATCAATCCAGGCTGGTCCACTGTGCCCATCATCGTGTAGGATTTTCCAGACCCTGCAAAGATAGGATGGGGCTGTATTTTGAGGAAGGTGGAAGCGAGGAAGAAGGATGGCTTCCCAGAGATAAGCGAGGACTTTTCAAGCACCTTTACAAATGTGTCCCCAAGCACGTTCAGGCATCCTATAGTTAGAGGGCAAAAGAGGAAATGAGGTTCCCCTGAATTCAGAGTTTCAGTAGGAAGATGTCCCCTGCATAAGCATCAAGACATCAGAGCCAGACTCCCTGCCCTGCACAGCGTGAATAACTGGCTCCAGTTCCAAGAGCTGAGTTAAGTTTAATTGAATCTGGGGGCCTGGAATGGGGTTACGAGGCAGTCATGTTAATGCAGCCCTCTAACCATCTTTGCTTTGTCACTGTGGAAGAGCAGCAAGAGGCACAAACGGAACTCAGAACAGGCTCGTTTTCATGCCTGCTCTCACTTTCGATCTTCCCCATACTGGGAAAGCGCACACTCCAGATAGCAAAGGCGACCATTTCTCTGTGTATTTTCCAATACTGTCCATGTTCCCCCATTGACGAAGGTGTGAAAATGCTTTTTTTTTTGTTGCCTCAGTGTGGAGCTGCAGAGAGGGCATGCTCGCCTGATTTCTGATCAGAAATAAAATTCCTCCAGGCTCCCGGTTCCTCCCCACCCGCAGGCCTGTGGGACAAAACAGCTGGCAACTTCCGCAGCCGAGGGGGCGGCTCTTTGCCCATTTGCTTGGGTGGCAGCCCCCAGCACAGCCAAGCCCGGCCTGCCCTTCCAAGCCCAGCTAGGCTTTCTGATCCCCTGAATGAGTCACAGCCTGCGGGCTTCAGGGAGCGCGGCCTCCCCAGGAACAGATGGCAACTGGCCGCTTTTGGGGAGTGGAGGGAAGTCCGCGGCCTCCTTCGCCAAGGCTCATGGCAGCCACTCTAAGCTGCAACAGGGTGGGAAGCCGGCTTGGTTCTGGCTCCAGGGGAAACCAGGCACCCGCTCGTGATTTCCCCTGAAGACCTGCACAACATGGGGCCAGACCGTCCGAAAGGTGTCCCACATTATCTGTCCGCTTTCTACGATTTCACAGCGCTGCAGCCAGAAGATGGAAGCAATGGTTAAGAGGCTGAGCGGTGGGCCAGGAAAAGACACCCACTCCTGGCAGAAAGCAGAATTTCTGCATGCCCACAAAGCAGGGCTTGTCTCTGGAAAACAATGGATTTCCTGAAAACATCTTAGTGCTCAAAACGGGATGGGACTAGCTAAGAAATATTAGCTTGCATCATTCTGGCATTTGCTGTTGTGCTTGGCCTTGTAAACCACGCAGAGAGCCCTCCGGGCTATTGGGGTGGTATATAAATGCAATAAATAAAAAAAAAAATATTCTTATTTCCCATTGATTGGCCTTTGTATTTTCTCAGTGGTCGTCATCTCAGAAAGCTACTCCCACGGATAAGATGGGCGTAATAACACAAGCCTATTTGGCAAAACTGTTGGAAGGACTGTGAAGTACTAAACCAAATGAAGGCAAGGGGCAGGTCCCAATCCATCGAGGCACCCCAGCTACTTTTTGGCAGACTACCTTGTGCCCACCAGGATCCTTGCCATGAGCACTAAAATAGGGAGACCTTGGACAGATCCAGCAAGGGCACAATCCTACTGTTATTAGACACCGTCAGAGATCACAGGATAATTTGGAGTAACCGTGCCGACTTTAGGAGTGCGTGGTGAAGTCAGAACAGGGACTCAAATCTGGGAGCATCCTTCCCCCGCCCTCAAAGTCAGCAGGGTTCTTTCCAAAGCAGTGCGGCTCTGAGGTTGCAGGACCGACCCTGGAGTGGGTGCTGGGGGGCACGCACCACTGTCCAAGAGGGAATCCAGGTGGCACCTTGGGTTTCGCTCCTGGAAAGCCGGAACAGAACACTGAGCTGCCATGCCATGGCAATCCGCAGCTCGACACTCCCCCCGCCTTCCCCCGGATACCCATCTGGATGGTGCCCAAAGGGACTTATATTCTGCAGCAAGACGGAGCCCTCAGCACGCCTTTACAAGACCAGTTGTGCTTTAAGGAGCAAGATTTTGCATGCCTGCTTTTTAGATTTGAAATTTATTTATTTTCATTCCCTTGAAGCTTTTAGAAAGCGTCTCAGGACAGTTTACAACAAACAACAAAGAGAAATTAAAATAGCACAGCATGCACTATAAAACACATTAAAACCAATTGAACATTAAAATAAAGGGAGAATGAAAAGGTGTTTGCCTGGCGCTGAAAAGAAAGAAAGGTTGGCGCTAGGTGAACCTCTCTGGGGAACGCATTCCATAACTGGGGTGCCATCGCAGAGAAGGCCCTCCTCTGAGTAACCACCCTCTTAATCTCTTTCAAGGAGGGCTCCCGAAGAAGGACCTCCGCCTCCGATCTCAAGGGGTGGGAGGGCATATAGGGAAGGAGGCGCTCCTTCGGGTATCCCGGACCCAAGCTGTTTAGGGCTTTGCAGGTCACCACCAGCACCTTAAATTGGGCCTGGACTTCAATTGACAGCCAGCGTAAGCAGTAAAGGACCAGCGTTATACGCGAATACCTGCCGTTCCCCATTAATACCCTGGCAGCTTCATTCTGGACCAACCCTAAATAATAATAATCATTACACTGCATTCACATCCCAAACTTCCTTCCTCTTCTGAAGGATCTCCACTCCATTTTTATTCCCACAACAACCACCCACTGTATTCCCTACAACCTGCATATCCCCAGTCCACACAGGAATACTATTTTTAAATTTTATTTTTAAAAAGAGCAGCCCATGTGAGACGGGAGGCTGCTGCTCCTCAGACGAACTACCAGTGGGGGACTCCAACTCTGCACGTGCTCATGGCTGCCGAGCCGTTCCCCCCCTGCCCCCGTGGCGCCCAAGTGTCCCCCAGATCTGCGCCCGGTTCCAAGGGCTTTGGCATGTGTCCCCTTGGCTGGAAAGACGGCAAGACTGAACCAGCAAAGGCAAAGGGCACAAAGGATCTAAAATCTACGGGATCCAAGAAGCGCCCAAATGCTAGCACGATGTAAGCACGCTTTTGAGTTCTTCAGGGCTCTTGGTCTCCCTAGGCGATGAGGCAGGGAGAGAACGGCATCGGAGTTGGTCTCACAGGGGAGGCCGCGAGGGATGAACCAGTCCTCCCACAGTGGTTCCAAAGCGGTGTGAGGAATTATTCTGTTCTGAGGCGCCTTAAAAGAGGGAAATGCTGGGCAAGCCCGTCAGAGCATCATCTTATCTTGCCAGAAATTTGTCTCAGCTTACCCGTCTGTCCGTAGGCAAAGATACATGCATTGTAGCCTTCAAAAGCATTCTGCAGGATGCTTTCTCCAAGGCACTTGAAAACAACATCTTGGCCTAAAATTAGAACAAAAAGCTTCAGATTAATGGGACGGGGGCAGGAGGAGTCGCCAATCGCCTTTGATAAGACCCCCGAGACTTCAAACACCCGCGAGGCACACCATACGAAACCGTGAACGCCTTTCATGCCTGTCCAAAGTAAATGAAGCCCTCAAGGGTGGAAGCCACAGATCAGATATTCATCTCAATGGCTCCGAAGTCTCCAGCAATTCCCTTTGGAGTTTCTCTGCATTTAAACTAACTTGGGATGGACCAGAACAACATGATGTTTGGATCATAACAAGGCCATCTGGCTGGAAGCCAAATCTCCAGCCAAAAGAAAGGCTGCAGCTTCCACAGCATTTAGCTTTGTTTTCTTGTATTCTTCTTTCGTGAACGCTCAGGAAGGCTTGCCTGAGGGTCGCCCGATTTTATCCTCACAACACGTAGGTTAGAAGGGGAGGGAGTTGCCAGCCAAAGGTCGCTCAGGGAGCTTCATGACTGCTCTGGGTCTTTAAAAGTTTAGTTCCGACACATCTGGTCATGATGGCCAAGAATGATGGGAATTGCAGCCCAACATCTGGAGGGCTCAGGGGAAGTACCTGCTGTTCTCTGGCTTGGATTGTTATGAGAATACGTAGACGAGGGTGGAAAAGGGATTGCACCGATAAGCGGAGGAGGGGCAGAATTTGGGCTGACCCGTGTCAGTCCCTCACGACCCTGAAGCCGTAACTTTCCTGTGCCGTTACCCTGATCTCTAGCATGACGTTTATATCAAAGGGGTGACATGCTAAACTGCTGCAGGAAAAGAAAGAGGAAAAAAATCAAAGACTCTGGTGGCACCTTAAGGACTGTGAGCGTTTGCAGACGCTGCCCCCTTCAACACAAGCAACACATCTGAATAAGTGGACCACGTCCACAAAAGCTTACGCAAAATACATTTGCTAGTCTTCAAAATGCTAGAAGATGCTGTAGCTTTTAAAAATCAGGTGGCTGCAATTTTCAAGCAGCTTGAAATAAATAAAAGCTTGATCTGGAAGGGTCAGGGCCACAGGGTTGCTGGGAACCACATGACCACATCCTAATTGCCTTCTGTTTTCCCCGAGTGCATGAGGTTCACACTCTTCGATTTGGAGTCCGCCTGGACATGACACAGCTCCGTGTTTCTTTCTACCAAGGACTCATTTTTGTGCTGAAAATTCAGCGCCTTCCGAGGCTGCGAGAGTCAATGAGCAATGTGTCTACTTAATTTTCCTTTCCTGCTGCTTACTCATGCTAAAAGACATGGCAAAGTAACAAGGGAAACCCAGCAAAATCTGGTTCAGCCCTCGCTAAGATTGGCCAGGATCAGTTTCCCTCCCCACTGTGGCTCCCTGTGGTATTCCTAAGCGGGGGGGGGGGGGGGGGGCAGGCCACCTGGAGGGCTTTTTTGGCTCTGCTGAAGGTCATCTGCCCACTCCCCATTTGAGTTTATGATCGCGGCTTACCCTGGGTGAATGGGGACCATGCACAAATTCAGCAGCGGGTGAATGGGAGATTTCTGATGGACCGAAGCAGCCTGGTTTGGGAGGAATAACGGTGAGCCCACATTAAGCCCACATGGGAGGGGTAACACCTGCAGAATTGTACTGGCAGTGCAGAAGACAACCTCATCTCAGCAGACGAACTTTGCCAGCAGTGCGACCCTCTTGACAAATTTCCTGCTAGATCAGTTCTCTGCTCCCATCCATCCAGAACCGTTCGGACTTACAACACTACCTGCGTATTTTTCTTTCATCGCTTCATCCATAGACCAGAAGCAGTGATCGTAGGCAAACACCTGCAGGAGATAAACCAGATACGCCCCATAAAAGTCTGTTTACAAGCCACGCAATTAGGCGAATGATTCAATTAGTTGAGCGAGCCATATTCAAAACAGTGGCGGAGCTTGAGTTGCCAACGCATGAATGTCCAGCTGGCTCTCTTTGAACACCTTCTCCAGCCAGATACATTGGTTAGCAACCCCCACGGCCACCCAGCCAGTGCAGCCGCGTGATGGGAGTTGTAGTCTGCACACTGAAAACAAGGGATGGGCAAACGAGCATCACTTGAGATCGCTTGGGTTCTCCAGCCATCCAGTTCCCTTTTGGCTGAGATCAAGGCTTGCTTTGTGCGAATGGAAAACTTGTGCAAATTGAATTCACGGGGCAGGACAAAGTTCGGAGGAGGGCGACAAGGAAGATTGGAGGACTGGAAACAAAGCCCTCTGAAGGGAGACTGGAACAACTGGGCTTGTTTAGCCTCGGGAAGAGAAGACCTAGGGGCGAAATGGCAGCACGCTTCGTCACCCGGAGAAGGGTCAGGATCTCTTCTTGGACATCCCAGAGTGCAGGACCCGGAATAAAAGGGTCAAGTTACAGGAAGCCAGGTTCCGGCCGGACATCGGGAAGACCCTCCTGACTGTTAGAGGAGCACAGCAAAGGAGCCAAAGGTTGTGGGCTCTCTCACACTGAAGGCATTCGAGAGACAGCTGGACAGCCTTCTGTGGGGTGCTTTAACCTGGTGTCCTACACGGAGCAGGGGCTGGATCCAGTGACCTTCTTGGTCCTTCCAGCTCTCCTATTCTGGGATTTTATGCCCACCTCACTCACTGCCTTTGCTTCCCATTTGCTTCCCAGTGAGCAGAGAACAGTGGCTCAGTGGAAAGGGCCTTGAGGTTCAACCCTCTGGGCTCCTCTGGGAGCAGGTGATGGGGAAGACCTTCTCCAAAGGAGCCCACCTTAGAGGCCAAGGGGATCCCCTGGTTCACATGCACACAGACCTTAAGGACGGAGGCGTGAACATTGCAACCTTCGGTGGCCAAGGAAGCAGGGTCCCAAAAGAAGTTTGCCTCCCTCATCTTGAAGAAGTCTTACAAGGCAAGGCTGAAAGAACTGGGCATGTACAGTCTTGAGAAAAGAAGACTGAGAGGAGACAAGACAGCATTTTTCAAATACCGGCAAAGCAGGAGGGGCAGAATCTCTTCTCGGTCATGCCAGTGCGCAGAACATGGAATAATGGGCTTCTGCTGCAGGAAGCCAGATTCTGGATGGACATCATGAAGACTCTCCTGGTCATGAGAGCAGTACAGCAATGGAACCCATGACCTAGGGAGATGGTGGGCTCTCTCCCACTAGAAGCATTCGAGATGCAACTGGGCAGCTGGTGTAACTGGGAGTCCTGCACTGAGCGGGGGCTGGACTCCATTAGGGATGTGGGAGGGAAATGTTTTGTGCGGAAAAGCCCGATTTTGGCTTCCTGGACTCAGGACCACTTCCTGGGAAGCATAGCCTGTGTTTGTGGGGAACATACCAGGAATGGAGCCCACGCGCTGTGCAAGTAGCACCAGTTTTTCACACCTGGTACTGCCGCCAGCAGAAACAAGCAAGGAAGGAGGTTGGCAGCTGGGGGAGGTTGCCTCCGACGCAACCGGGGCTCCATGAACATTTGCTGAGCTCTTCTTGGCTTGGCTGACTTTGCAGGACCGGGCCGAGCACAAGCAGAAATCCATGGATCCCGGAGGGATGGATTCCAAACAGGTTCCTCCCAATCCTAGATTCCATGCCCCTAGAAGACCCTTCCAATTCTACTATTCCATGATTCTGTGAAAAGCAATCCAATAGGTTTGTGCAAATATTCCCAGATTTGTGCCAATTTGGAAATTTGTGCCCATCAAGCCAGGAATAGGGAATGGGACAAATGTGAACCCCTGTTTGATGTTCTATAGATATTTTTGGTATACGCCTGCAGCCCTTCTTAAATGTCCTGAGAAAGTGATCCAGGATGACTATGGAGGTATGTAAAGATGCTGAATGAAAGGGATCGAGTGAGACCTGAGAAATGTATTCGTGGCAGAATGTCTTCCCACAACCAGCAAGCAAATCATGACCAGAGCCTGAGGACAGGCAACTGATAAAGTAGAAAGGAAACTAATGCAGAAACAGAAAGGGGAGTAGATGAAGACTTTTACAACATTTAACAACATTTAAATTTAGCAGCAGTTCAATGAGAGCATTGCTAGGCAGCAAGAATAAATCAAGCCAGCACAAATATGAGAAAAGCGTTTTCCAAACACACACAACACCACCTTTCATCCACAACCTGCGATGCTCAGTGTGTGGGTACCTTCTCATCTGTTCCTGTGACTCAAGCCTTGGCTGCAAAGGCAAAATCTTGCTTTTAAAGGAAAGCTTTTAATGTTTTCTTTTTCCTTTCCTTGCATAGTAGCAGCAAGAACATTTAGGAAGAAAAGGTGAATCCTAGTTTTGTACAGCATCGAAAGCCAAATTAACAGAAGAATTTCTCACCCTGCAGGCTGCCAAGTTTTAATCAAAATTGCTTACCTTGGGCTGGTTCCTACAGTTCCAAGAGTCCCCAAAACATGAAAAGAGAAGAGAGAGGAGGGGAAGTGAAAGATTAGCACAGAGCAACATAACATGCCTGACACAGCAGTTTCAGTCCCTGATACAGACAGACAACTCAGTAGCCTTCCAGATGTTTTGGCCCACAATGTTCATAATTTATTGATTTAATCTGTACCTGCCTTTCCAATAAGGAAAAAGCGTCCCTCACTACCAGCTGTGCTGGCTCACGAGACCTGGAGGGCCCCAGGTCGTCTGCACAGCTTCAAAAGCTTTCCTTTTAGAAAGCTCTTGGCTTTCCAGTGCAAAGGGTTGCTGGAAGGAAGCTGGGTTCAAGTAAGGATCTCAGAAGAGACCAAGAAGAAGCACAAGCAACCATGCACTGCCAGGAATTTTTAATTTAATTTAATTTAATCTATCTATCTATCTATCTATCTATCTATCTATCTATCTATCTATCTATCTAGAAAATTTGTATGCCGTCCATTACTTCCGTCTCTGGATGCCTTACAACTTTATTTATTTATTTATTTATTTATTTATTTATTAAAACATTTTTATGCCGCCCCATTCGCCGAAGCCTCGGGGCAGCTTACAACAATAAATTAAAACCACATAAATTAAAATATAGACATAATAATAATAATAATAATAATAATAATAATAATTTAAAATATATAAGTATATATATGTATATATACACACACAATATAAAATAAGCCGCCCTGGCCAGATAAAATTCAATAGTATTAACATTTAAAATGCTGCTTAAATAAAAAGGTCTTCGCCTGGCGCCGAAAAGCAAATAACGACAGCGCCAGGCGGACCTCTCTGGGGAGCGCATTCCATAACTTAGGCGCCACCACTGAGAAAGCCCTCCTCCGAGTAGCCACCCCTCAGAATAAAATAAATTAACTATTCCACGCTGGCTGAAAATCCAATAAAATACAAGCAATAAAATCCAATTAATACATATTAAAATATGGATCGAATAAAAAGGTCTTGACCTGGCGCCAAAAAACGTAGTGACGGCGCCAGGGGAACCTCTCTGGGGAGCGCATTCCATAGTCGGGGCGCCACCACAGAGAAGGCCCTCCTCCAGGTACCCTGTCTCCTAACGTCTTTCACAGAGGAATGTTTGTGAACTGCCTTGGCTGGCATCAGTAAAGTGGTACAGAAATGCAATAAACATGAATAACAACCAGCGTATTTGACAAAGAGGAAAGACAAGCCACCCTGTAAACACGCTGGGTGGGCCAGAATATCCATGGAAGGATAGGAAGGCGCTGCAGCAAGCCCTGGGGTCCCAAGTCCCTCACCCCCTTTGAGCACGGTTAAAGAGGAGGCATTTATTTTTTGCCTTTTTAAAAAACTGAATACCACACAGTGCGGCCTCAAAGCCTTTAGCTCTGGTTAATGCGCAAGGGAAGCAAAGCTGCCAATGTCCTCTCCCCAGCTGCACAAAAGGAAGAAATGAGGCCTGCAAGAGGTTTGCTGTAGCTCATCCTCGTAACCCTAAACCATGGTTTAGTGTTACGTGCACACTGGCCCATGATTTCAGCCCTCTTTACAGAAACCCAGTTGAGACATCCATTTTGTATTGATTATAATCCCATTTTTCCAGACACACACCAACTGTCTCCACGAAGCAATTCAAAAATATTCAAATTAAATGCCCAATCAATATTGCTGAAGAAGTATAAAGCCTGAGAGACCAGCAGGTGGGGGAGAGAAACACACCGGTGTTCTTTTACACTTGACATTCCCCCACCTCTAAGGATTCGGATTCCGTCTCGTGGATCACTTCAGCTCTGTTGGCTTGCACCGTTTGTAGGCCATGAGGTCTGTCTCCTGACCTAGAGGTTTGCCTTTGACCGGTCCTAATCCTGCTTTGCATCAGCTTAAGTGTCAAGATGCACATGGCTCGATTCTTACATCAGGATATATTTTATCTTGAAGAACCCTGTTCCCTCCAGAAGAATCGGGCCAAGTTGTATCCCTGAGATGAGCTTGCCATCGGCACAAAGCCTCGCAAACGTCTGTCCAGGCACTGACTGAGACAAGACCCACAGCAAGAGTGATCCGGGAGCCCCCAAGGCTGACTGGGGGCCACAGGATTCTGTGGGTTCCTAGTTCCAAGAAAGCTCTGGAGCTGGGGATCGGCACTCCGACCCCCCCCATGGCCACCAGCATGGGAAGGGCTCCATCAGCTGCTTCTTCAAGCTGGTGCCCCCAGGTTACTAGGTGCTGCAGCTCCTTCCCCTCCGAACACCTCACTGAAGGGACTGAGATCAGCCGTATACCAGAACTGGCAACCAGGAGGAGTGAGGAGGCAGAGAAGTAGCTCTCGAATCGGGAGTCCAGCAGAAGATGAGGCTGCCTCAAAGGTTTTCTGCAGCCGCACAGGCAACAGCAAGATCGGCGCCTCCGACATGCATGGACCAGAGGGAGGCCCAGCCCAGAAGTCTTCAGGGAGGGCGGGAGAATGCCACGTAACCAGCTCCCACCGACGGACACAGGAGGCTCCCTTGGATGGTCTCCTTGCAGTGGTCAGAGCTCATGCTGAACCCTTGCTTGGCCGTTACCAGTTCAAGAGCCACCATTTAATCCTGTGGAACTGTGTTTAGGCATTCATTTCTCTATTGGATTTCTTGACCACTCAACAGACAAAGCTTGCCAGGCAGTGCCCAAAAATTGCAACTCGAAACGCAACTTAACAAGAATATAATACAGAAAGCATAACATACGGAAGTTAAATATAAATTAAAACGGCTAAAAGAAATGCTTGCAATAAGATGCAGGAACGCGATAAAACAAGTGATGTTAAAATTCCCATCTTATGCTGCCAAATACTTGGAAGTAGAGAAAAGCCCAGTGTTAGCACCAGGTGGACCTCAGTGGGAACAGCATTCCACAGGTGGGATCGGGGCACCTCTGAGAAAACCTGCTCCCTTACTGCCATCTTCTAAGCGCCGTCAAACCAGGGACTCTGACGAGGGCCCAAGCGATGAACATAATATACGGGTAGATCAGTATGGGAAGATATTTTGGTACTGAGCTGTGTAAGGCTACACACCAAAAACAGCAGCCTGAATTGGCCTTGTAAGCATACAGGTGGCCACCACAAGCAGATCAGAATCGGTGTGTGGGCCTCCAGGTTTCTGCAACCAATCTGGCCACCAAATATTGCACAAGCTGCAGCTTCCAAACAGCCTTCAAAGACAGCTGCACATGGAGCACATTGAAACAATCACATTCGTAGTGCTCTTTTGCATGACGGCCTCCTAGAAGAATTCCGTGCTTGCTTTTACGACTCTTATGGAACAGGGATGCCCCATCTGTGCCATATGGGTTGTGTAAAAAGTGGGTCTCCCGGTTTACTTGCCAGATCCCACAGGCATACAGCTTCCACCTGATAGCCAGAAAGGGAGTATCTGCTCCCACAGTAAGTTCCTGTGCTATCACTGGATTGACTGAGTAAGAAATGCAGCTGGGACTGCCCTATCCAGGGCTCTGTGCAGGACTGTACCATATTTGACCCCTGCCGTCCCAATTAGCTGCTATTTTGCCAAGCTCTTCTCCTGATCATAGAATCATAGAATTGGAGTTGGGAGGGGCCATGAAGGCCATCAGGTCCTGCTGGTGCAGGACACCAGGTCACACCATCCCACTCAGAGGGCTGTCCATGGCTCAGACAGCTGACGAATCTTCGGAATTTTATTTGCATTAATAAATAACTTGGGATTCCTGCACTGAGCAGGGGGTTGTACCTGATGGCCCTCAGGCCCCTGCCAACTCTACTATTCTACAATTCTGCAACAGTAAAAAGCACACCAGGAAAGAGCAAACTCTGGGCAGGGACAGCAAAGGACCAGACCAAGTGCATCAAGTCACCATGACTTTTAGCCCCCACCCGAATCCTTCCGAGACCGGATTATGTTATTACGTGGCACTTAAAACATTTAGGACTTCATTCTGCCCGCATTATATGGTGTTTGGGATTAAAAAACGGCAAAGAGAATATAATCCCCGTGGCCATTTCCCACATATGGCAGTTTCAAAAGGGGCTTAGACGATGTACAGCAAGCAGCTCGACGAAGGCCAAAAGGCCAGTTCCGAATAAGCAGTGTTCCTTCCACAGAGATGCACACGCAGCCTCAATGCAAATCCATCCTAAGCAAAGAAACACGACCCCCTGATGGAGGCAGAGCATGGCCCAGCTATGCGCATCCTGCAGTCCAGCCACCCACATCCCGGTGCTGATGGGCGGGATGACAGCCGCATGCCTGGACACATTTCCAGTCAAACGCGCATGGCCAGACATCTGGCATCCCTGGAGGTGAGGCTGCCGAAAGCATTCCTGCCCCCAGAAGAGGCGGCGAGCACAGTGGAAAGGGGGAGACCTTTCCAATGTGGCAAAAACATATCCTGTGTTTTTTTTTACTGGACATCTCCAGGGGAAAGAAGCTCCATCCCACTCCATGGAGAGTCTTGCTGCTGGGTTAACAATGGCTAAAACAACTAATTTTTCCACTCTTAGTGGAATTCTTCTCGCTCCCCTGGAAAGGAATACTCCCCACTCAAACAGCCCAAACAACACAGCAGGTAAAGTCTGGTGGGAACGCTTCTTAGATTTGTTGTTGGTTAATCTGTAACAAGCTACCAACTGTTCTACTGCTGAAAGAAATACTGGGATTGTCCCATCATTACACAGAAACATAGAAACAGAGCAAGTCGGAAGGGGTCTCCCGGGCCATCTAGTCTGACCCCCAGCTCCAGCTGGGTCTGCTCACAACGTGCCCACCATGTGCATGTCCAGCCTATCCTTGAACACCTGCACCGATGGGGCACCAACCACCTCCGTGGAAGCCCATTCCACACCCTCGGGGTCCTGACAGTCAGGAAGTGCTTCCGGGCATCCAAATGGAACCTTGTTTCCCTGAGCTTCCATTGGAACGTGTCCTGCCTTCCTCTGTGGGGGGGAACAGGTCTCTC